TTATGGTCGCGCCACATTAAGTATACGACACGTGTGCGGCGGGTGCTTTAAATGCAACAAAATTCGCATTTAATTTGATTTGAAGCTCGACCGCGGTCTGCCAACACGGAAAACACGGAAGTATATTTACGCTGATGTGCTGTTTCCGCCAAACAGGGAATTTGCAAGCTGCATAGCCAAGCAGCGGAAGGCTGGGCCGCGCCGGAGTGTGCGAGTGTGTGGCACATGCAGAATGCCACACCAAGCACGGGTTGCGTGCCCTGTCGAGGTTCCCGTTTTAGCTTCGCCTATAAGTGGCACATTTAAAATTAATTAAAAGTAATAACATTTTCAAGCACTTACCCGGACACAAGCACACACACACACACACACACACTCATACGAGCAGCTCGAGTGACGCCATTTTGTCGTGCATTGCATAATTAAAAGGCGCGCAAATGGCAGGCCATTTCCGGTGCCCAGGCAGGACAGGGAATTACATGATTTAATTTAAAGCCGCCGCCACCTTACATCTACTGATGTCCACTGGCGGCGCCCCACCTTGGCAGCGCCGCCCACTGGACCCCCCCCCCCCTGCCATGGCACACACTCTCAAGTTTTTGCCTCGCAACGCTGTCAAAAAGTTTTAATTTGAAACGGAAACGCGAGACGAGACCCAAGGCAGCAGGCTGGCCAAGAGTCTGAGGCAGCATCAGAGCCCAGAGCTGCCTGCCGCAATTGGACATTGTCCTTGTCCCCCAGCTTCCGGGGCCAGACCCAGATCTGACCGGTACCTTTCCATGCCCCAACCCTGACCATTTGAGTTGCTGCCAGCGCAGCGGCAGTGAAAGCAAGAGGAGCCACTCGACAAATCATATTTAGCCTGGTAATTATTTATATTCGCATTCTCTGGCACATCACCGCCAGCATTTGGCGTCATTAAAATCGTAAATATAATGGACAGCAGAGCAGCAGCCTGTGCAGAGCAGACACCGTGCCAGCCAGCCAGTTGCTGCCTTCTGGTGGCGTTGTCTGTGGTCAGAAATGATTTGAATTATGGCATATTTTGTGGCAACTCTAGGAGAAAATGCAGGGGTAGATAGCTGCTAGATTTGAGCATATTTTATTCGCTTCCTGATAGCTGAATAATTTAAAGACTTTAAATTTTAAAATAAAAATAAAAATTGCAGTTTTCCATTCTACTCCTTCCATTGTTATTAATGTTTATTTTTCAATTTAAATTGGAGTTCACATTAAAACTTTCCACAATTTTCTTAAGGTGAAATAACAAAAAGTTTCAGTGGTAACCGCAAATGTTCAGTCGTTCTGCTCTTGATGTGGCAGGCAGTTTGTTTTGCTGCAAATAATAAACCAGATTTGCTCATGCCAAATCAATCCACAGCATTAGAGCTCTGCTTCAGCTTTCTTCAGCTGTGGTAAGCTCTCAAAGAGGCAAATTTTTTTTCCCTTGTCCGCTGCCGCTGCTGCTGCTGCTGCCCCAATGCAACATCAAAGCAGAAAGAGAAGAAAAGCGGCAAATTTTATCTTCCTTTTGATATCTAATAAGCCATTGCTTGGTGCTGCGGTTTTTTTGGCGGAGCAGGTGTTCGATCTGGCCAAAAGGTCACACGCCCGAAAGGCCACAAGGACCCCATTCAGAGAACCTAAGCCCAGGCAGGGAGTGGGCCTGGGACTGGTTGTGGGACGCAGCTGATTTACATCAGTTTAATTAGTTGCTTATTTGCATAAGCCGTGCACAGGCCGGGATCCGGGAACGGGACAATCAGAAACATGCGTAAAGCTATTTGCTTAGGCCTGTGTTAGGGTTTTAAATCATATTCTATCGGGAGGTTTCATCCGCCCATCCGCACACACATCCAACAAAGGGCATTAAAAGGGGCGACAGAAATGCCAGGTCTTTGCCAGGACCGCTTTTCATGGTCACTGTGAATTTATGGCTATTAGGTTTAGCACTTTTTGGCAGCCCATTGTTACCCTCGTTCCCGCTGCGCCCCGAGCCACTGCCTCCACGCCCCTGACGGCCCTAATGGCTTATTATGATTATTAATTCATAACCCAGCAGCGTAGCAGCAGCAGTCGTGTAACTACAAACACAATAACAGCAACTACAGCGACAACTACGCTGGCACTCGAACGACACGAACAGGAACAGAAACAGGAGTAGGACCAGGACCAGCGACAGCCATAGCAAACACTTCTCCTTCCCTTCCCTTCCATTGCCCATCCAAGCACACATCCACTTGGAGTTGTGCGATCCTGACATGCCAACAGATGGGGTATTAAACATGACGATTGCTACACGGCGAGAAGCCGCGGAAACCTAACTCGATTAGGATATATGTACATACATATGTATATGAGAGTTATAAGGATTATTATTGAAGTACGAGTAATAATGCTGCTATGACTATTGATTTAACCGCAGCTACTTGGAGTAGTCAGAGCATATTCAAAGAATTTATGAAAAACTATTTGGTTTTAAACACGGATTTAAGCAAAGATGTGAAAGGTTTTAAAATTTTAATCTTTTATAAATCTTTTTTGGACACGAGGGAAAACTACTCAGTTCCTTTTTTAAACCTGTTTCCACCGGCTGCAAGGACGCTGTATATGCATTTTTATAGCCAGCAACAGTAGATTTTATACGGAAGTGCAAAAACATATTAAATATTTTATATTTTTAACACAAAATGCTCTTAACACAAGACATGTTTATATGTTATGGTGTTTATATTTTAATATTTTCATATTTGTAAACACCTTGAACACCTTAAACACCATTCAGCTTGCTTTACTTTGAAATAGTAGCTAGAATTTCTTCATGAAAATTGTTGGTCTACCTTTAAGAGAATTTCAATTGCCAAATCAATCAGACAATGTTTTATTTTTCTCTAAGTGATAAGACAAATGAATTGGTAATTATAAAAAACCAGAAATTATCTATGGGAAGGCAAGTTATATACAAGGATCAATCAATCCATCAATGAATGTATTCTCAAGTGCGTATTAGGCTGACGTGACTCCATTCAAACATGGAGCTCCACACACAACTCTACACTTTTATAAATCCAACAAACTGAGCTGAAACCAATTTAACTGAAACCTGAGATTCTGAGATAGAAAGAAATCATTTCTAGTTTTAAATTAACTTTCTGGGACTTTTGGGCTCAAAGCGAACTTTGATTTTTATGCATAAAACAAAAGTTTTTGCCAGTGTCCGTGCCATGTGGATTTTCGGTTTGGGATATAGCCAAAAGCGTGTTTTTCTGCTGCTTGGGAGTGGGAGCGGGAGCAGTAGCCGGAGCAGGAGCAAGCCTTATGCGTTAACCAGGCCAATAAAACATGTCCCCGGGCTGGCTGTGGTCTGTGGTTGTGTGCCCCGTGTGCCCCGTGTGCCCCGTGTGCTAGTGTGTGTGCGTGCTCCTGAGAGTATGCAACAGCTTTGGCTGGGTTTCGGTTTCCGTTGCCGTTGTCGTTGTTGGGCGCCATTGTTCGCTCGTTTGATGGCCGCTCGACTACTTGGTTCTATGGCTGTCGTTTGTTGATTTTGCGGCGCTAATAAAGTACACACGCATCCCATTCCGCTCTCTCTCTGTTTCACTTGAATCCCGATGCTCAACTGAAGATAAAATTATAATTAAAAATTTTTGTTCCTGCTACCGCTGCTATTGCTGTTTTTTTTGCTGCTGTTTTGGGGTGCCGACATAATTTACACAGAAACCAAAATCCTGTTTGGATTTTTATGCGCTCTGCGTGACTCCTTCTGACTGACACATCATCCCACTTACGCATATCGCACATTTACATACACATGTGTTTGCTGTGTGTGTGTCTGTGTTTGTTTGTTTTATGTGTCAGCAGCTTGGCTCGGCTCGGCTCGGCTCTGTTTTATTTTATGGCCCTGGCCTGACAACCGCGCGTTAATATTAAGCAGCTTGAGCCTGGCCAAAGGATGCCGCAGGGGAGAGCTGTGCAGCTGTTCAGCTGTGTAGCGGCCTTCAATTTAATTTGGCAGCCAGGCATCGACTTACATTTGATTTGGCCATTTAATTGGAATGCCAACTTTTACTTACACGTAGGCCATTTGCATAATTTGCACTCCCTCAGTGGGTGAGTCCCCAGAATGAACCAGAATGTGCGTTTAATTAGAGCACATTGTCAAGCCCCAACATTTTGATCGAATTAGTACAGATTCGTGGCGTGACCGTGCCCGTGCCCGTGCCCCTGTCAGCTTAGCTGCAATTAATTAGGCAAATGGATGGATGGCACCCAGCGGAATACTCAAATTCATTTTCAACAGACCTGAAAATCTCTCAGCATTTTCATGATATTTTATTATTTTTTTGTTTTCTGTTGTTGTTTTTTGTTTGTTTTGTGCTCACTTTAATTAATTGACCAATTACGCGAAGCGAAGCCAAAAATTTGCATAAACTAATCAAAAACTAATAAAAATTTTAATAATAATAATAAAATTCCATGCGAAAATCGATTAAATTGCTAACTAAAATCAACTAATGACAACTTTTTGTATGTTCTTTTTATATTCTTTGTCTCTTTCCATCAACTTACACCAACATCACGCAAACACAAACGCACACGCACACGCACAACCACACACGCATACACACAACCAAAACCACAATCACACACACACACACACACACACACACCCGCTTGTCACTTTCTCTCTGTCTCTCTCTCCCTCTGTCTGTGTCTCTCTGTCTGTGCTCGCCTGTACAATGCCTTCAATTCGATAACAAAATGTGTCATGTTAACTTTTGTAACGTGTTTTCGTTTCCCAACCAACAATTCAACCGAAATGTCTATGCGTCTGTCACGTAATTATGTAATGTCTACTACCAACCCACCCGCCCATCGAACCACCCACCACAACTACAACAACCAACAACCAACAACCAACAACAATCCCCACCACAATTACAACAACAACAACAACAACAACAAAAACAACAAATATATTGAAAATAAATATACAACAGGCTCTTGCGCGCTGAATTGTATTCGCTGAGGCGCAAGGGTGCGGCTAAGGTCGTTGGTGGAGGAGTGCAGCCACACGATGCCACACAACAACCACAACAACAACAACAGCATACAATGCAGCAAAATCAACAACAACAACAACTACAGATCGAACAACACACCAACAATTACAACGCACACAACGACATGAGTCGGCACTGCGCTCGCTGCACCACCGAACTGGGCCGCATCACGAACCGCGGCGCCCCCTGCCGCGTCTGCAAGCTGCGCGTGTGCAAAGCCTGTCGCGAGTTCACATCGCGCACCACGGATTGGGTGTGCGTGGTGTGCCACAAGCAAATGTAAGTCTCTCTCTCTGTCTCTTTCTCTTTCTCTTGCTCTCTCTCCTCTCTCTCTCTCTCTCTCTCTCTCTCTCTGTGTGTGTGTCTCTGTGTTTCTGTCTCTCTCTCTGTCGCTGTCACTCTCCAATCTCCAATCTCCAAACTGCATTCTGCAACTGTTAACTCACACAAAAACCAAAACACACACGAAAACGAACTAAACCAAACAAAATTAAACTTTGTATCCTGTGTGTAACCCCCCCCTACACCCCTCGTATTAAGGCATGTCTTTGTGTGTTGCATATATGTCTCTGTGTGTGTGTGTGCTGCTGGGCAGAGGTATACCCTGTAAGAAAAGCTTCGGTAGAAATTAAATATTAAAGTTTAATTAAAAAAAGTTAATTTTAAAGCAGCGTTTACCGAGTTCAAAGTCCGTTCAGTCAGGACATGTGACTTGTGAACGGAATCTCCCTTATTTGTGGACAATTCGTATCGTATAATCAAGAGAAATCCCTTTTTATAGGGGCAAGTAGAATAAATAATACTGGCAAATCGAACTTCAGAGGTTATTCGATCACCGTATATTCCCCAATTTAAGAGCTCGCGTTCCACGCTTTTATTCTTGTTCTTTTAACCTTCCTTTCAACCCATGTATTTGATGGTGTGTGACCTCGACATTGTTGAGCAAACGTTGCAATTTTCATTGTTGCAATCTAATTTCGCTGGCCCTTTCGTGTGGCTTTTGTGCCACCAAATTGTCACCCGAAGCCCGTTTTGTTACCCTGAGCTGTTTTTGCTGCAGCTGGTGATACAATGTACGGAATCGGATATGGACAATGCAACCACTAGATCTCATTTGCAGATAAACGAATTTAATGCCACGAAAAAAAGGAAACTTCAAATTGAAAAGTGAAGCCCGGATAGAGGATATATCTGAATTACTTCTAGGGATTGGCAAACATGATTCAGCTGCTTTGGGCAAGGGTAGAAAATTTCCATTTCCACGTATCGCTCAGCCCATAGGCGTATCAGGTGCCACCGTCCGTCAACTGATGCTCGCTCTCTCTCTGTCTCTGCATGGCTGATGTGGCAGATTTCCAGCTCGTTTTTGTTTGGTTTTCATTTTTTTCCGTTTGCTGTTTGAGTGTTGAATATTTTAAGCGTTTTGTTACCTTCTGTTTGTTTGCTGTTTCTGTAATCGCATGCACTTTCATAATTGCCCCTACGACATGCAAAACTGTCAACAAACATTCAAAAACATTCACCAACCCATTTGAAATTCAATTTACACGCCTGACGTGCCCCAACATGTCGAATGGAGTTCTCTTTGTATTTTTTAATATTTTACATATGTGTACATTGTCCATATTGTGTGTGTGTTTCGGTGTAAAAAAGAGGCTTTGACTCTTTTGGGCCTTTGCTTTGCATCGATCCCAAGGGCGTCCCGTGACGAGCATTCAGTTTCCAGAGCTTATCCATCGTTCTTTATGATTACAAAATGTTTCAATGTTGCAGCAGCCAACGAACAACATTTTTGCACTCTGTGCCATTTCCACATTCACAAATTACACATACGCCCTGTACGCGCTGTATTAACAAACCTTTAACTTAAGCTGAGGCTGAGGCTGAACTCCGGGCAATATTTGCCAACTGATGATTTGGCTGGCGACGACGACCCCCACACGCTCAGAGGAGAGTTCAGTGTTAATGGGCGAGCCCAAAAAGCCCCAAAAAAGCAACTGAGAAACATTTGAGTGCGCAAGGCCAAGACGCAGACACTTGTGTAATTAAAACTTGGCCAATTCTGCGGGCGGCTGCAGGCCAAATCTTGCTTGTATATGTAAATTTCCCCGAGCCAAGAATTCATCAAGTCGCCTACAGGTGCCTGCCATTTGACGCCTTCCCCAGCCATCGCCAGCCAATCGACTGTCAACACGAATGACGCACACCAAATTTGGCTGCGTCTGTTGCTGCTGCTGCTGCAGCTGCTGCTGGGTAAAAGTGACGGCGATGATGACGGGCGATGAGCCAAACCCAACCCCAGTCGAGAAGTCGATGGAAGGCGTCAATTGCCGTGGCTGTCGTGACTGCCTGTTGCTGTGGCTGCCTGTGGCTGTGGCTTTGGCTGTTGTTGTGCCTGAGATTGGAATTCGTTTTACAAGTCAACGACGGACGATCTTCAGCTTTGGTTTGACTGCGCCCCCAATCAAACCAACGAGGCACAGTGTCCTGACGTAGATTCTATTTTGGCTTACAGCTGAGAAAATTCGTAATAAACCGAAACCTTTTAAGGATTCTGCACTTTACTTTAAATAGTGTTTGATATTTATTTTGTTAATTTAATTAAAATAATGTTTATTAGTAATTCAAAGATCAATTAAATTATATATTTTTTAAACAGAATTAAAGCCCAATTTCTGTTTAATATTGGTAAATATTAATATATTAATTATTATTTATTATTTTTTTTATTATTTTCCATATTTCCATTATTATTTATTATTTATTGAATTAATGTTTAATTTAATAATTATTTATTATTATTATTTTAAGTGTTTCGAGCTGTGCTTTTTCTCAGGCATATTTATGACAGCCCAAGTCAGTGTGCGATGCCCTTCCATGCGTCGTTCCATGGTGGCTCACACCTTGTGCAGCCCAGCCACTGTGTTGGTGGCATGTGTTGGAGCTGCTGCCACAGACGATTCGGTGCGGCAGTCAGTCAGTCTGCCTTGTGCCGCTTACAGGGGCAGACGTTGAATTTTCCATTTGACTTTGGGCGAAAAATGTTTGGCGATGTTTTTTGGTTTCTCAAATGGCAATGTTGTTGTTCTTGCAGGGAGATACAGAGCGCCAGTGGAGAGTGGATTAAGGACGCCTATGCCGTGGGCTCCTGCAGTGCCGTCGACCATCTGACCACCAGCGATGCGCTGAGGAAGAGCATGCGACGTTCCTGGACCATATCGAGTGAGTTTCTATCGCGTTTCCAGCCCGCTCCTGCTAACTCATTAATCTTCTTTGGTAGACCCCGAGGACGACCCGAATAATCCCAATTCCCAGCAGCCAGTGGCCGATAATTTGTACCCACAGCAGCAGCACCTAATCGAGGCCCAGTCCGCCGGCAGCTACCCGACCCTGCACCCGCTACACCAGCATCAGCACCAGTTGCCGCAGCAGCCACGTCCGGCACACGGCATCGGCTACAACAGCGGCACTGCCACGCCCACGACCAGCAGCAAGTGGCAGCTGGGGCGTCGGGTCCTGCGTCAGTCGACGCTGCCGAGCACCCTCAACAACGACCCCACCCTGAGCGGCAGCGGATCCAATCTGGCCAACTACAATTCCGTGAACCTCACGGCGCCCACATCGCCGCATCAGCATCAGAAGAGTCCGCTCTATCCGGGCGCCTACAACAGCGACGACATTATCCACATGAATACGGCAGCCGGAGTGGCAGTGTCAGTGGGCGTGGGCGTTGGGGCAGGAGGAGACTGCGACAACTACGCACAACAGCAACAGCAGCAACAGCAACAGCAGCACAGCCACAGCTGGAGGGCACGCCCACGCATCACCGTCTGCAGGTGCGGCGACAATCGACGCTGCCAGCCCAGCCCACGCCAGCCATTTACATGTCCACCTCCCCGAACCGCTACAGCCGCTCCCCGGAGCGCTCTCCGGGCGAGCAGCAGCGCTATCCGCCGTTCATGCGGCAGACCTCCTTCCCGGAACCCCCGAGCACCTATCACCGCACAAAGCTGCTGCCCAGCACCGCCAATCTGCCGGCCTCGCAATCATCCCAGCAGCCGCCAGTGTCGGTGTCCGGGCCAGGCTCAGGACCAGCGCCACCCCTCAATTACGAGTCGCAGGCGTCGAGCATGGCCAGCGATGAGATGGACTACGCCCAGCCCACCCAGCCGGGTGGACCGGGTGGACCGGGTGGACAGGGACCGCTGCCCAAGCCGCGGATGACGCGCCAGGCCACGCTGCCAAATCCGGAGCAGCACGTGAAGCTGCTGCCGACGTCACCGCCCAAGCGACAGACCTCTCCGCAGTATCGCCGCTCGCCGGAGTTCATGCGCCAGCAGACGCTGCCCAATCCGGAGGCCTTCAGCAGCGGCAACACCCTCACGGTGCACTCCACGCCACCGGCCAAGTTCATGCCCATCTCGCCGCGGGCCAAGCAGAACTTCCTCTTCCCCAATGTGCCGAATCCGCGGCCCTTCCTGTCGCAGCAGAATGTGCCCACCGTGGGCACCACGGAGCTGGGCAGCGGCGGCAGCGTGGCCAGCACGGGGGTGGGCGCCGGGGAGCAGTACTCCAGCAGCCAGAGCGTCAACATCCACCACTCGCGGGACCCGCACGCGAAGATGATCAAGGTGCGCAGCCACAGCAACGAGGAGTACTCGAACGCCAAGACGCATGTGGAGAACCGCCGCCTGCTGCCGGAGATACCCACCGTGCAGCGGGCAGCGAGCCGCTCGCCCAGCCGGCTGGTGCGGCAGGACTGCCTCAAGGAGGAGCACGGCTCGCGCACCTTTGGCGAGGCCAAGCAGCAGTTCCACCAGTTCCCCGACGTCACCGAGGAGCTGGAGGGCCGGCCCGAGTACGTCGACTACTTTGGCGACAGCTCCAGCAGCTTCCTCGAGTCCGACGAGGTGCAGTACGAGAAGAACTACAACGCGGGCTTCAGCAGCGAGCCGCGCATCATCTACAACAATGGATCCGACGACGGCAGCTACAAGCAGGCCCACCAGCGTCCCATCTACAGTGCGGAGAACGTCCTGGCCGACTCCGGCTACGGGGGCGGGGGCCTGGGTGCGGGCGGCATGGGTGTGGGCGCTGGAGTGTCCAACTACTATCCGGACATGAGCACTCCCCAGGGATTCTATGGCGGTGCCGCTCTGCCCCGCACCCCACTCATGCACAACCGCCTGCGACGCCGTCAGTCGCGGGAGCTGCAGATGCAGCAGGAGGAGCTGGCCCAACTCGCTCAGGTGGAGGCTGCCACCGGAGTCGAAAGTTTCTCCATCGCTGCGGGCGCCACACTGGAGGTGAATGCCGCCGCACGTCGCAAGCCGGACCAAATGCGTTCCGTGTCCGAAGATTCGGGTGCCAAGACCACGCCGAAGCCAGTCACGCGGCGCTCCTTCTCGCATCCCGAGAAGGACAGTCTGGTGGGTATTCCTGGGGACTTGCCAATCAGCCATCATCCATCTAACCTGCGCCGCTTTCACTTGTTTGCCTCCTTGCAGCCGCCAAAGAAGTTGGAAACCTCGAAGATACCCAGCCCCCGACCGCTGGCCGACATTCTGGACAAGACGCGCGGCAACTCAAAGATTCCACAGCCGCGGCGACGCAACAGCCGCACGGGCATCGGCGAGCCAGAGGACGGCGGTGAGTCACGTAGCAGCGTCAGTTCTCAGTAGCGATTGACGCTTCAACTAGCTCTCACGCATCTGTAGAACCCCAGAGACCGCAATGATTGCTAGTTACATCTATTCACGTTTCATTCATCAGATATACATGCTCGTAATTCGATTCCCAGTAACAAAAAAAAAAACATACATCTTACATCTTGTATAGAAATTAATTATTAATTTTGTAGCATTTAATATCCTTGCGGATATTTGTAGTGGCCCCCAAACAAGGGGCAACAAATTGGTAACAAATCAAAGTAGTTTTTGCACCAAAAGATTTAGTTTCATTTTATTGTTTTGTATATACGATAAACATAAAACATAAAATATTCAAAAATATTCACAAGTAACGAATTTATCTGAACTATGCCAATTAATATATGCCATTATCATTGATTTATCATAAAGCTTACATACAAGCAAGAATTACTGCCTCGTATATTTATAAACATTAGACCACAATTAGAACACTTTTAAACACATATTTTAAAACATTTAAAACAGAATATGTAAAAAACAAATCAACATCCACAAGAGGCAACATAGAGTAAACAAACTATATACATTTCATATCCTCATATCCATCAGCTAATACTAGCACCAATACTACATATATGTATGTATATCATGTATAAAATATTAAGAACTCTTTGGGAGAACTCTGCCACTACTTTGTAGCTTTTTTTGCCTGCTTAAACTTGAGAGTAAATATCTATATTGCGGTCTCTGGTAGAACCTTTGTAGCTGCAGCTTGTTCCGGCACCCGATTGATAAATGCTTTGCACCCCTTCCCCATTAACCACCCCACAGGTAGCACGCCCCAGCACATTTACTCCTTCCATCAACAGCTTATGCATAGAAACTCTGATTTAGCCATGCGTCTGAAAAAAACAGAAATTCCTCCTGTCGCCACAGTAGCCAGCGCCGAGGAAAAACCTCAGCCTGAGTCCCAGCTAGAGTCGGCAACGGAGCAGCCGTCCAACGGCAAATCCCTTGAGTCCTCCTCGGCCAACACAGAAGCCAGCGACGCAAATGCCCCATCGGTGAGTATGCCCCCCACACGCATCAAAGACCTAAACCCAAGTAGGCTTAACTGTGAAACTTTCCCCCGCCCATTGTCTATTCATTAGGGCGCCGCACACACCAGCAAACTGGGCGAACAGGAGCTGCAGAATGCAGTGGAGGCCGCTGCCGTTGTCTTCAAGAAAGTTGTCCTGCAACGGCGCCAGGAAAAGGAGAAGGAGAAGGCCGCCGAGGAAGGTTAGTACTAATAGCCCTGCTCTCCATGTATCCATGTATCCGTATACATATATATATATATATATTAACCGTAGTCTGTGTTTGGGTGTGTGTCTGTGTGCTTTGGCGTGTAATTAACTTGGTGATGGTAATGCTGATGCGGATGGTAAAGGGTGGAAGGTGGAAGGGTAACAAACTCTTTGTGAAGGGTTTCATTTTTCGTCTAATTTCTACCAATTAATTAAGTTCTCTTCTTGGCCACTGAAGGTGGCTGGCACTTGACTCGGCTGTCCTTGTCATGCCCTCCTTGAGGATGTTTTGCACTGGCAAAATGGAGCTACTTAAGCAGCAGACAAACCAAGAAAGAACTTGCCTTTGAGCTGCCACTAGTTTGCAATTATCCAATCGGATTGAAATTAATTGGATCTGCACATAATAGACACATAAATCACACTAATATTGGGAGTAATTCTTTCGCATCCAAATAGTTTCACTTCTCTGTGTTTAATAGTCATTCGATATGCAGGGCTCTCTGCTTAAAGACTCCTCACAACTTTCACTCTTTAAAACTTGACCAGAACTTTACCGTCGAGACCCTACAGACAACAGCCACCCCACCATTATTATTCTTCCGTGGGCGGTCCCTAAAAGTATTCCATATTCTTTTCACTTTTTCAAGCAGTTTCCCCCAAAGTATGCAATACATTTCCCCCCTGTCTCTCGCTCTCTAGAATTTCTTTAAAGCAATCAGCAACATTGCCACAAGCCGCCAACAAATTTAAGAGCCGTGATGGCGAGGTTCTAAAGATTTGGAATACAGGGCAGAAATAAATACAAAAAAACTGTGCCAGCGGGGCTGATGGTATAATTTTTTACCAGCAACAGTAAAACAGAATTTCTGGCAATTCATATATCGATTCGAACTCGATTCTACTCGCCCACACGCACTTCACCAGCCAGCGTCGAGAGCGATGAGAGGATTTTGGGAATTTGGTTGGAGGATGCTAGTGGGAGGGGGGAGGTCGCCTTTGCCATTGCCGCTATTGTTATGTTTCAATTTGGCGCTTTTGTGGGGAGTCTGTCTTCGTTGAGTCTGTGACCGCTGTCAGCCAAACATACGCCCAATGACGACGACAGTCAGCGAAACGAATAGAGAGTCGTCCCAGCCTCAGGCCTCGGGCCCTGTCATCGCCCACGGGTTAACCAAAACCAAAGCCTTTCCCGCCACGAGACTGTCAAAAATTTACCGTTAATCTTATCTCACGCACCTTTTGTCTCCGTGTGGATTTTCTGAATGCCTGCCTAACAGTCCTTATGGCCCCATCCTCATGCCAATCCTGCTCCACCCCGAGCGATAAGCAGAGCAATTTTCGAGCCAGGAAAGGGTTCAGTTCTGCTCACAGTACAGCTCAAATATTTGCTTTTGCGGCTGGCAGCGATTTGCGCAATGTGCATGCACAAGCACTGGCTTGTGCAGTTTCTGTTTGCGCAGACACAATGTACGCTGGCAGGGGCGGGGGAGTAGCGGGCGAACGCGGTAAGCACATGACGTTGGCAACTTTAAAAGCTTTTTGGCAAATTTATCCAAGTCCTTGTTCAATCGTCGTCCTTGTGGCAAACAAACACAATCCACCACAAGTGTTCTGGAACTTTGTTACAGACCTTATTTCAATTTGATTGATTTAAGAGAGGGCCAGCTTGTGGCTGGCTATATTTTCTGTGGATATATGAACTATGGATATAATACGAGCATGTATGTACCTATTACCCATCTGACTGATTATTAACTAAATCCATTCTAATCGCTTAAACAAGCGCCAGTCCGTCACCTTCTCTTTAATTTCTTCTGGCATCAAATCATCCTTTCGGTCCTGCAATAGTCAAAAGTAAACCCACAAGACATACAATAAACCCATCCATTTGTGTATTTATTACACGAAAATGGGGCTTGCTAGCTGTTCCAACTTCCAGAATGTAGTTGAGTATTCGACTAGCAGCCGAAACTTTTATCTATAAATTTCGGAATTACTCGTACGTACGTGTCACGTGTCGTTTTACATTTCATTTTCGCCCACAGTTTCACGCTGCAGATATTTCTTAAAGAGATAAAGGCAAAAAAAGTTATTATATTTTTTAAATATTTATCTAAAATTTGGTAATGTAATACGCTAAAATTCACGTTCTTTGCGGTAGTTAAAAGTCAGTAGTTAAAATTTATCTGTAAAACGTACTAAAGAATTTGGTTAATTTTAAATGCATTACTTTGACTTCTTTAATCAAAAATTGTTTCGTATGAATAAAAATTATTCAGAAATGGAACAAGGCAAACGTTTCGGGCAGAATAAATTGCTTTGATTCATTTCCTGGATTCCTTTTCCGTTTAATAGTCCACATAAATTCGTTTACGGTAACATAATGTCAAATGCCGAGAGTAATGGGATCTAACACATATAAAAAAAAAATCTATAAATATGCATAAGGGTTTATTTGGAATATTTTTACCGATTATATGCAGACTTAAACACTTATTTCCCCGTCAGATTAATGTTAATTCCAAATGGGAATCGATTTTTATTTGATTTGAAACATTATCAGAGTTAGCTGACACCTTAAACTGGCTTACAAATATCACAGACGAATATCTGCTATGCAGATCTGATGTTTAATTGACTGTAGCCCAATCAGATTAGCACTAATTACGAATACAGAAAATTCTACATGTAAATATTTTCATGGCACTCTAACTTTCGCCTGTGTAGATAACAATGTTCGAGTTGGGGTTGGAAATGTGAACAACCAGCCCGTGCTTAACCCCATTTTTAGACATAAGTAAAGCACCCACCCACCCACTCGTAGCCCTGCCTAACCCATTGTAACCAACGCACGTGTCTGTCTCTGTCTCTGTAACTAACTCTGGGTCGGGTCGGGTTGGTGTTGTGGTGGCTTTAGCATTTGGTGGTGGTCTCTGGTGCATAGTGCAACCCCTCCCCTCCCCTCCCCATCATGCCCTTTGTAATCGTAGGCCGTAAGCCGTTACCAGTATTTTCCACCTGTGAAGGGAATGGCAAAGGTAACCAGTATTCTGTGTCACTCTGTGTTGGTGTTGGTGTCAACTTCAAAGTGGTTGAAACGAAACTGAACATCCCAAAAAAAATCCACCCTACTCCTACTACAGCGTTGCAGCTGCCGGCCGCTTCCGGTGACGCCAGCGGCATGGATGCCATGGAAACGTCGTCGTCGTCGGAGCTCGAGTTCAGGTGCACCACCACGCACGGCCTGCAGCAGCAGCAGTCACAGTACAGCGTCGAAGCCGACGAGTTCAAGCTCGTCTTTCTCAACTCGGACTCGTCATCGTCCTGCCGCGAAGGAGGAAGAGGAAGAGGAGGACGACACAGACTCATCCTGCTCCACGCACCACTGCCACAGCATCGTGAGCAATGTGGAGGACTGCGACTGGGACTACTTCGAGCCGTCGATGATAGCCTCCACCACCACGACGACGACAATGATTGCCTACACGGCCACGCCCACACCGCCTCCACGCATACGCCGCCGTTCCAGCGACAGCGATTCGCCGCTCCTCCAGCGACGCCAACAGCAGCTGCGCAGCTACTGTCCCCGGATCCGGGAGAGCGACACGGGCACCGGCACCGGCACGGACGAGGAGCTACTCCAGCACACGGAGAGCAGCTCCCAGACCAGCTCCGATCAGACAGCACCCCCCGTGCCGCCACCCCCGCTCCCGATGAGCATGAAGACGCGCATCAAGACGCGGTTCCTCAAGAGCAGCCACCATCATCACCACCATCATGCGCCGAGTCGCTGCAGCTGCAGTGCAGCCGCCGCCCCATGCCCGCCATCGCCGCCGCAGCAGCCCCAGTATGTGCCCATACCCGTGCCCGTGCCCATACCCGTGCCCATGGCCGCCTACCAGAACTGGCAGCTGGACTATCCGGGCACCGCAGGCCCACTCCTCGAGCAGGACGACCCGCTGGCCGCCTCGCTGCAGCAATTGTGGCAAGCGGCCGCGGCACTGGGCGGCTTCAAGTCCTCCGCACTGGCCGGCTTCAAATCTTCGGCGCCGGAACTGAGCGCCTCGCTGGGCTCCCTGATGACGCAGTCGCTGTGCTCCACCGCCTCGTCGTCTTCCTCGACCACATCGGGATACGGGACGGCGGCGGGACGCAGCCTGGAGACACTGACCGGCTGTCTCTGCCCGGCCGCCCGGGCTGCCAACTCGTTGCAGCAGCAGCGTCAAATGGCCAGCAACAACAGCAGCAGCAGCCCCAGCAGTGGGGCTTCAAAGCCAACAACGCAGCCAACAAGTTTAGTATCGTCGCGCCTTCCGTCGAGTGAGCATCAGCGAGCGCGTCCCCCGATCGAATACAGCGAAACGGACGACAGCAACGCAACGCCCACCACTGGGGAGAGATTGTGTAATGTCTATGATAAAACCGGCGACGGCGACGGCGATGGCGATGGCGGCGGAGAGCCAGCGGCCCAGACACATGTTGCTGTTGATAAGCAACTGAAGGGGAATGCTACAGAGGGAACCGCTCAGAGAGGGCCACACAAATACCACAGCCGAATTCTATGCGAAACCGAGCAAACACAAACCAAAACGGCAACAACAGAAACAGAAACTGAAACAGAAACCTACCTGGCCAGAAACAACAGCCACAGCCAGAGCCACAGCCACAGCCAGAGCCACAGCCAAGAAGAAGTGGAAGCAGCAGACGAAACGAATATACATAAAAATCAAGTACCAGCAGCAGCGGCAGCAACAACTAGAGCTGAGGCAGCAGCGGCAGCAGCAGCAGCTCCTTCGGCCATAACTCGTTTTGCAGTCGAAAATGTTGGAATTGCTGAAAATGCCGAGATTGTTGCCGCCGCGCCTAGAGAGCACCTAGTAGAGAAGGAGGCAGCAGCAGCAGCAGATCCCAAACCCAATCCCAGTGCCACAGCGAGTGCCAAGAATTTGTCCTCCAATCGACTTATAGCCAAGAGGGCCACCATGTCCGAGGAGCAGCACAAGATGCGCGAGAGCACAGTGGGCCACTTGCTGAGCGAAAGCTATGCGGCCAGCAGTCCGGATGAGGCCAGCAGCAACAGCAGCTGCAGCGCAGATGAGGATCAGGCGGCACAGAGCCCACGCAAACTGGTGGAGCGCAGCTACGATGTGGCTGTGGCAATGCAGGCGGAACTGCAACCAGACCCAGAGCCACACCCACAGCTGCAGCTGCAACTGGAGCTGGAGCAGGAGCCGGAGCAGGAGCCGGAGCAGATGCATCACAGCACCACCACCGACAGCAGCAGCAGCAGCGAGACCAGTTCCAATTCCAGCTCCAGCTCGGAGTCGTGTGACTCGGATGACACCGGCACCGTGGCCGATCGCCGGCCCAAGCGGCGGCGCTTCAACAAGGTGTTCGTCGTGAACCGTCAGCCGGGACAGGCGGGACAGCGGGTCAGAGCCAGACGCAGCTCCTCAACGGAGGGCGATTCACTGTCCTCCTCGGAGGCCAATCTGGAGGATTCCTCCGACAACGATACGGACACGGAGCGCACAGATTGCGGAATTGTTTTGAACTATGTGAAGCCGCTGGGCGAGGCAGCAGCAGCAGCAGCACCTCTGGGTGAGCAGGCGGAGGAGGGGCAAGTGCAACGTGCACGTGACGCCAACGTCAACGATGCCGATGCCGATGCCAATGCCTACGCCAGCGACGACTACGACGACGACGACGACGACGACGATGATGACGATGATGAAAGTGAACGATGCCGCGTTGCCAACTCAAGCGATGAGCTTGCCAACTGCATTGTAGTGGTGGGCGGGCAGACGGACGACGGCGACGGTGTGGTGCTGCACGGCATGCGATCTCTGCCAGACGCGGAGCCAATGCAATCAGAGCGCTGCGACTTGGAGCTGGAGCTGCACAGCATCTCCAACGATGTCAACCGGCTGCTGGAGCTGCACAAGCAAAACTCTCAGCTGGAGATGAAGCTGCAGCGGCTGCGACGCGGCGTTGCCGAAATCAATGAGGATCACCTGGCCACCACATCCACATCCACAGCCATGGGCACTGCTGTGGCTGCCGCCACCCAGGGGAAGCCCGTCGAGTGCAGCCCAGAGGGTGAGGGCTGTTGGTCATCGCCAGGTGGTAATCCGCCCGCTTCTCCTTCTCGGAAAAGCATTGTAAATGTTAATTCTAATGACGAAAGCAGCCAAAGAGAGGCAGAAACAACAGAGGCAGAAACAACAGAGGCAGAAGCAGCGAAACAAAACGAAAACGAAGCGAAGGGTAAACACAATGTAAACGAAGAAGCCGCAGCAACAGCAACAGCGGCGGCGGCGGCGGCTACTCTCGGGTTTACCTGCCATCATCAGAAGCACAGGCAGAGGCAGAGCCACAGCCAGAGCCATGGACAGAAGCAGGTAAAAGCAAACAACGATAATAAAGTGGTGGCAGCCGTAGCAGCGAAGGAGGCAATGGGAGAAGAGCGACAAACAGCTGTGCAAACTGTTGCGGCGCTGGCGACGGCCGAGGGGCAGGAGGAATGCAGCGAAGCATGCAAAAATAAAAACTCTCTCGCACCTGAACAGGTACCTGCTGTGGCTCGAGAGCCGGAGAGCGGCAGCCGAAGCGAACGCTCAAACTCGCACTCGCGCGCTCTCTCCCACTCCCACTCGCACTCGCACGCTCTCTCGCGCTCTCGCCTACCTGTTGCTCAGGGCCAAGCCGATTTCGGAGTCGAAGTGAAGTCGCATTCGGAGTCGTTGCGCTCGCCATTCGAACATGAAATGTTAAACGTTGCGGTCGAGGAGGAGCCGTACGCTCGCACACGGTTGTATCCCAGCAGCAACAGCAACAACAACAATAATATAGTTGCTAAAAGCAACAACGATAATGGCCATAATGACGCTTTCGCAGCACAAAAGACAAATAGCAGCCAGCAAAGCAGCAACAGCAGCAGCAGCAGCAACAGCAACAGCAACAACAACAGCAGTGACGTAGTGAATGTGAATGGGGGGCCACTGCCGCGGCCGCGTGTCTTCGAAAGTTGTGAAAACGACAGCGATTCCGATTTTGACAGAATATTCGGCACACACCTGAGTGCGAATATGCTGAATACTCCGACAGCAACAGCAACAACAACGGCCAGCAGCCCAAGAACGTCGCCAGTGGAGATGGAGGGCCAGAGTCCCAGTACCTCAGCCAAGAATTCACTCTCGGCCAAGTATCGCAGTCTGGTCATGATCACAAAAGACAACGAAAGTGCAGCAACAGCAGCTGGAACAGCAGCTGAAACAGCCACAACAAAGGCCAAAAGCGATTACGACAGCAACCACTTTGGCCAGAACTTTGGCGGTGAGTCATTGCGCGCCATTGAGGGCTCGGATCTTGTGACCAGCGATCGGGAATCATCGCGCGACTCCTACAGCGTGGACTCGCTCAACGAACCGGCGCCAAAGATCTGCCTGGACGATGGCCTGGCCGACGATGACTCCTGGGTGGAGGAGCTCAGCCAGCACGAAAACGAAGACGAAGAAGATGAGGACGAGGATGAGGAGGAGGAGGATGAGAACATAAGCAATGCCACCACCACGCCGACGGCCACCGATTCGGAAGATGCCGATGGCGATGGGGACATGAACAGACGCCACAGCTACATGGACAGGGAGGAGGAGCTGCGCGGCTACCACAGATCGGCCATTGACTTTACGCTGCACACCATCGTGGAGGAGAGCTGCGAGGAGAGCGAGGTGGCCTCCATGCGGGCGGACAACGAGGACGCCGACGAGGAGGAGGATCTGGCCGAGCGTCGCCGCCAGCGCACACTGCAGCACCATCACCGCCTCAGTGCCTCCGAGCTGGAGAAGTACTTCTTCTTTGGACTCGGCGACGGCAAGGTGATGAGCTCCATTGACACGCGGGGCGACGACACCGCCTCGGAAGTGAGCTCGGAGTGTTCCGAGGGCATCGACTCGCTGCCACACGAGGATCAGCTGCTGGACGGGTGCAACAGTGCCACCGATCTGGCCTCGTCCCGCCTGGAGAAGTACTTCCTGTCCGGATTCATGGGCTTCAGCGGCGCCGAGAAGCAGGCGGAAAGCGACGAGAGCGGCGGCAGCGTGGGCAGCGACAGCGAGGGACATCCGAGTCCCAGCCAACGAAGGAAGCGACTGGTACGCGCACGCGGCACTCCGCGCAGCCACAACTCCTCGCTGGACAACCTCCTGCTGCCGGAGACGGACACCCTGGACGCCAGCACGTGTCCGGCTGCCATGGCTGTGGAGGACACCTCCGAGTCGGAGGCCGGATGCGACGACACGGTCATCCATCTGGCCAATGCCGGAGCCTCGGATGGCTCCTCCTCGGACACCATCAAGCGCAAGAAGCAGCTGCGCAAGCGCCACGACTCTCTGGACGAGAAGAAGATGCACGAGGATGCCCTGGCATTGGGTGGCGGCCCCGAGTGTCGCACGCCCACTCCCGGATCGATGGGTGGCAGCTCGAGCCAGGGACAGGGCCAGGGCCAGGCCAAGAAGCAGCAGCACCACCACAGCCGCGACAGCGGATTCGTGGGCAGCAACGATGATCTGCTCAAGGCGCCCGACTGCGAGCCACCGAAATCTCCGACTCCGGCCCTCGAGCAGATCAGCGAGGACCGCGAGCCGGCGCCGGCCCTCGGTCTGGCGGCCAAGCTGGAACTGCCGAGCACCTCGGCATCGGCACTGGCATTGGCCAGTGGAGCGTCCGGCCAGGGTCAGCGGCCCAGGCCAGTGCCTCCCGTGACGACCAGTTCGAATCTGGTGCGGAAGGACAGCTTCAACAACTGGAGCTCCGACGAGGAGACCAACCTGATGATGAGCAAGATGCGGCAGTTCTTCAAGACGCTCATCGTGGCCACGGCCAATGCCCAGCAGAGCAAACCCACCACGCCCCCCATGCCCAGCGGCACCACCACAAGCACAACGACGCCCAACTCGCAGCGGAAATTGGCCAAGACGCGACCCGCACAATTGGCCTACTTCGAGAACGAACTGACGCGCCTCATGAAGACGGTGCCGGGCATCAACGACGAGCAGGTGCGCGAGATCGTGGAGTACCTGAGCAGCGAGGACACGTGGTCGGACTCGTACGACTCCTCGGACTACACCAGCTCCGATCTGGAGGGGGGCGAGCGCAAGGGACACCTCAAGGCGCAGATCTCGGCCAGCTGCCAGCAGATCATCAACAAGTTCGAGGTGGACGAGGAAGGGGACCGCGGCGACGGCGGCCTGCTGGACGAGGTGCAGAGTCTGCACGGAGACACCGCTTTGGTCTACCAGAAACTGGTGGCCTCCTTCAGCAAGGTGGCTGTGGGTGGCGCCGCCAGCGCAGCAGCGGAAACAGAACCCGAATCCCCACAGATGGCAGCGCAGGAGGAGCAGCAGGATCGGGATCAGGATCAGGAGCCAGCGGGCAGCACGGAGCAGCGATCGCCGCAGCTCTTTGCCAAGGTGATGCAACACATTGGCACCCGCCTGGTGGCCCTGATGCACGAGGTGAGCAGCGGGAATGAGACGCCGACACCCTCGCCGGCCACCGGACAGGGACAAACGCGTCACCATCGGCGGCTGCAGGCCAAGATCTCGGCCACAACGACAGAGGATGAGGAGGACGAGGTGGAAGAGCAGCTGCGGGCGATGCCCATCAAGCAGCTGAAGCTGCGCAGCAGATCCCACGATCTCCTCCTGGACGGACCCCACACGCACGGCCATGCGCATCCAGCTGGGGCGCATCATGCAGCGGGCTCGGCAGCCGGAGGATCGGCCGCAGGAGGGGCAGGACACGGCGACAATGCAGGGGAGGAGTGCGGCGTGGCCAGCGACTACGAAAGGTTTTCGTGGCGCGGCAGTTTTGAGTCGGCATTACTGGCTAATGGCGACAGCAGAACGAGGCTCAGTCAGCTGAGCCAACTGGACAGGGACAACTCGTCGTCTGCGTCCGCTTTGGCTGTAGCAAAGCGCCGATCGGCAGGCGACCTCCTCTTCAGTCAGCACCAACAGAGCCTCAGCCGCGAGCAGCTGGACCGCGTCCGATCCTGCGGCAGCATCGGCGGCGGCGACGCCCACCACCATCAGTTGGAGGCCTCGCCCGCGAAGCCGTGGCTCTCCTCGGCAGGCTCCTCCATTGGCGGCGACTCGGCCAAGGATGTGCGTCGCTCCAGCGTACCGGATGCCATCTACGAGACGGACTCCAGCGACGAGGGTGGTGCCCAGAACCAGTTCAGCGGCGCCCGCTCCACCCTGCCACGCAGCCTGACCAGCGGCGGCCAGGTGGCCAGCACCAACTCCCTGCCCCGACTGCCCACCTCCTCGGTGGGTGCGGGTGCGGCGGGGCCCATCACCAGCACGCCCAAGACCAAGTCGCAGAGCGCCCTCAACCACACACCCTCCTGCCCCGCCAGCAGTGCCAAAAGTGCACGCTATCGCTCGCCCGGATTGGCAGCCCGTGCCGCTGCCGCCAGCAATAACAGCAGCAGCAGCAGCAGTGCTGCCGGCGGAGGAATGGGTGGAGGTGGAGTTGGAGGTGCCACCACCAGTGGCAGTGGCAGCAAAAAGCTGGGTGCGGGCTTCCAGTTCCTGTACTCGAAGCGCGATGCGCGCAAACGTCTCAACATGTCAGCGGGTGAGTTCTCCTGTCCTGTTTAATGTTTGTCTTTGAATATCCTGCGAGTGGGCGAGGGAGTTGGGTGTGGGGTGGAGGCCACACCTCATTCCTCCTTGGGGTGGGGTACACACGCACAGGCTTCAGGCTTCAAGCTTCAGGTTGAGCGTTTGCTCAGGTCAAATATCTGGGCTATGAAATTGCTTTGTTCTTAATGAAAAAATTCCTCATAAAAACTACTCTGTCAGGACGAGAGGGTATATTGTATTCGTGGGGTTATATGTATAACATGGAGACGGGTGTGACTCTGGATAGTGTGGATGGGAAAAGTGTGAAAACTATTCGAAAATTAAGTACTTTTCTCGATGTTCTTCAGTCTTTTAAATTAAGTCTTAGCGCACACGCGAATGTGACAAAAGAATTGTAAAAAACCACACACATGTCGTGTGCATGACTCGACTCGAGCTTCGAGTTTTGTTGCTGCTGCTATTGCAAAACTCAGCTCACCGTTGCAGAAATATTAATGGAAACTGTATGAACTTTTTTTCCCTTTTTAACTTTAACGAAGTTTATAACTTCTTTGTTAACAGAACTCCAGAGAAAATGATCTCTGCTCGAGCTATTTATTAGCCTCGAATTTTGATAACAATTGGCCAGTAAAGGCCAATCCCATGCTCATGATGACGATGACAATAATGTTAGCGCTTAACACTCAGAGACTCAGGCAACAGACAGACCGATAGACAGACAGACAAAAAGACGGAAAAAAACATTTGGTTCCGCCGACAGCTGCTTTGCCCGAAATAAACCCAATCAAGGTCAATTAACTGTATCCATATTGAGCTCTCCAGTCTCCTCCAGTCCAGCAGTCTCTCTCCATCAGTCATAGCCCCCATAACTGGGGCTCATTTTGCCAGTTGGCGTCTAAACCGATTTTCGCACTGTTGCGTCGTCAACAACAACGTGGATGTGGTACCGGTATGAGATAGAAGTAGATGTATCTGTATCTGTAGATGTATCTATAGATGTAGCTATGGCTGTACGAGTATATGTCCATGTGGAGTGGTTAAAGTTGTGTTCCGCTTGGCGGGGGCGTCTCTTGTTTTGTTGTTGTTTTTCTATTCATTATTTAGCCAAAAAAAAAAGCTGTTTTCGCTTTTGCGGCCAACAATTATACCTATACTCGTACTCGTACAGCCGTCGAGCCCTGGTCAATGGAACTCGAACTCGGAACTCAACCCAAAAACCCGCACTACTGGGTGCAGGCGGGCTTTGAACTTTGCTGTGTGGCGGCTGCCCCTTCCTAGAGATGGGATGGCCAGGGGATGCTTGAATGAGTTGTAGATCTGATGAGGAAGTACCAAGCCAAGCGGTGGGCACACCCACGGAGAGGTATGATTATAGCGAGGGATTTCAGAGATAAATCATTAAAAAAATATTCATTAAATTTTCAATACGTTAAAGTGTGGAAATTCGGCTAATGGATTCAGATGAAATTTTCATTTATGCTTTTCCATAATAATTACTATATTTAATTATGTGGAGAAACTAAAAGAGAAATCCAGCTACAGCTGAAACAATTTTCGAGGCTTTCCCAAACAGAATAATCACAGATTACAGATTTATTTCAATAATTCAATAATTGATTATCGTTCAAGAATCATTTCCATATCCACACAAATTAATTTCCTTCCTTCACGATTACAAATATTATATTCCCATTCGAATATTTACCCTCACGCTGCCATCTCAAACAGACTGAGTTTCGGTCTTGGCCCGCCCCCTCCCCATGCCACAGTCCCCCCCCTCTTTGTTTACACAGTTTTAGTGGTTCGACCAAATCGTTTGTCTTTGCGGCAACTTGGCCAAAACACAATTAAAAAGTTGGCCCCGCCTGCCCCCGCTCTGTGTCCCGCTCTCTGCCGCCAACGACAATATTGAGCTTCTATATAATAATAATAATAATACTTGTTCAGAGTTAAGCTCTTGACGTTGATAAAGAGCCTGCGGCTCTGGCTCTGCCCCTCTCCCTTGCTGTGGCTCTGGCTCTGGTTTGTTTGCGAGTATTTCCTGCGTTCACTTCAAATTTTGCACAATTAATGTTTTCGATGCCACCAAAACAGAGTTGACACTGGCCAAAAAGAGTTGTATGTTGGCATATGTATGTACATATGTATGTTTTTCCACACTTATTTTCGTGCATCAGTGCATCCACAGTGGCGCGTCGGGTGTGCGGAAATGATTGCAGCAGTGCTCCATTGCTGTGGTGTGTCTATGTCCAGGCCCGTGCCCGTTCCCGTGCCCATCCGGCAGCCGTTTAAGTGTTTTGCACCAAAACAAAGCTACCAGCCAGCAGCGGGCGGGTGGGTGCAAGGCAATGCAATGCATGCAATACTATTGCCGTAAAACAATTTCCACAATTATTATGCAAATAAAAAATAAAAACCGAGCTACAATTATCGCTGCCATGGCGGAAGTGCCAAAGATGGTTAAGGCAAGGGGGGCATGGCATGGGGCACCCTGTAAGAGACATCTCGACTCGCTTGGCCATCAAATTCAATTAACCTTTCTGCCTCCGAGACCGAGACAGAGAATACCCAGAGCCAGAATAACCAGAAATGCGAGACAAGAGAGAGAGATCTCTATTTTATTCTGTTTCATATATATGCTGCAAGTTGCGATGGACTGGCGAGGGCTGAACTGTGTTTATTGAAGACATCTATCTTCAATTTGGGAATTTTACATTTGATTTCAATTAATTTAATCTTTTATGTTGTATTTTATTAGCACCCCTCGCTTTATATCTGCCGCTCGTTTCGCTGGCCTGTTAATTGCACTTTCATTGGTTGGGCGCCGCCCCAAAGCGACCCCAAAGTTCAATATTTAAATAATTGAATAAAACTTAGATTTCTGAACAAGAGGAGCATCCATTCCATGCCATGCCATGCCATTGTTCTGGCGGGGTTCTGGCACTGGCTGCCATCTCTGGTTCAGTTGCCGTTGCCGCGTCTAACGGGACTGGAGCTACAGCTACAGCAACAGCCCACCGCGATGTGCTCTATAAGTCACCGCGAATTCCGATCTTAACTCTGTCGATCCAGTGAAAGTGAAGTCTGTTTCGCCTCACTTTGACTTTTGATTGCGCTTTGGCTTTGGCTGTTTTCGGTTTTAATTTTTTGTTCGGGGTATCTGCCTTTGCCCTCCCTTTGCCCTGTCCCGCATACACTTTTATCGGTCGTTTCGCTGTAGATTGGTGGCTATCCATAGCGGAAATAATACTCGTAGAAGTGCCATAAAAAGCTAAAAAAAAATAAATAAAATAAAAATGAAAACATTGTCCGCATGAAATGGAGATATGATGTGTACTGTGTGGGTGCTGTTTGTGTGTGTGTGTGTGTGTGTGTCAACAAATCGTGACTGCATAAAGAAAATTCAAATACCATTGGCAGCAGTTTTACTGCCACCCCACCACCAGACAAAAGTCAAACACTTTTAATGGGTGTATTTCTGCCTTTAATTGCACTCTTGGATTGCTACCAATAGGAATCGCCTGCCACTGCCCCTGCCTCTTCCCCAGTTGCCACTTTGGCTGGTAATATGACCCACTTCTGCGGGTGTCTGGTCTGTTTATCTGTTTTTATTTTGTTGCTGCTGTTGCTTCCAGCCAAGCCCTCAATCTCAAAGTGTTTCACACCTTCATTTTCGGGCACGCCCAACTCTCAAGGCTGTTTCGCTGGAAGTTCAGGGCCGCATCCGCCCACACCTCTCAGAGAGCTGTCTTTAATTTGCAACTTAATTAAATGGCGCGACTGCCTGCCAGCCTGCCTGCCTGCCTTCGAGTGGTCATGCAAATGGCTCGAGCGGCGATCAAGTGGTCCAATTACGTGGCCTAGGCAACCATAGATTGGCCAAGTGTCGCCAGGCATCTTATCAAAGGGTCTGACAAATCAATGGAACTCTTGGCCTTATCGCCAGGGGAAAACTACTTTAGATTTCAAAAATACTGATAGGGGGGCGCAAAGCATTTTATCGATTCAATAAATACCAGCAAGAAATGGGTTTGGTTTTGGTGGTATCTTTTGGCTATATCTCAGATATTTCCAGTCAGATATTCTGCACTATCTGAAAACACACAGAAACAATCGAAATGGCTTGGATTTTGTGTACATTTTCCTTGGTTCAGAGTCAGACCTTTCTAATTCACGCTCAAACAGCGCTCAGAGTGTTGCCCCATTCCGTTGCACAGTGCACAGCACAGCCAATTGAGCAATCACACTTTGGTGATGCCATGCCAGATGCCCCCCCCCTGGCAGCCGCTGACAACTGTCAACTGGTTGGTTGGTTGGTTGGTTGGCTGCTGGTGTAAAATGAAATAAAACTTTTGCAGTCCGCTGCGGATGACACCAAAATCGAATGAATCCCAAACCGAAATCCAAATCCAAATGAGAAAATGAAGCAAGTGACTCGTTTAATTGGCCCGCGGCGTGCGGCAAAAGCAGCGAAGCCAAAAGAAGCCACCGGCAGCTACAATGCCTTTGTGTCACTGCCCCCGTCGGCTGCTACACCCATAGCTCGGGTGCACAACTATGGCAGAGGAAAGTCATCAGCCGCGGCGACTGCGGGCTCCTCCGCACTGCCCTCCAGTTCGGCCGGCAAGATCCAGTACGCGGCGCTCAATCGCATGCGCAAGAATCGATCCGCAGACAATCATCCGCCCAGCCAGCGCCCACGCAGAACCAAGTGGCGGCGTCTGCTGGGCGCCTGCTGGTGGCGCCGCAGACGGCGCCGCCCACGCAGCTACAAAGATTACTGGGGCAGCAGCGCTGGCAGCGGAGGAGGCGGACAGGCGAGGCGGAGTCTCTGCTGCTGTCGCTGGGGCAGGGCACGGGCAAAGGCGTACAGCTGTGACTCCGACGAGGAGGACGACGACATCGATGCCAAGGTGGCTGCCTACATTGTGGAGATGAAGCAGCGCGAGGCCGTGGCCAGCAAGCAAAGTGAGAAAGTGAAGGAAACCCACTGCCAGGAACCCTCCAGCCTGCCACAACAGCAGCAGCAGCAGCAGCAGCCACAGCCACATCCCTATCCCCATCCACAGATGCGAAAAGTATCTTTGCCCAGAGCCTGGACCTGGGATGATAGTCTCAGGTCGAACTCTGATAGGTTCCTGGAAACCCTCGAGGAGGATCTGCCTGTTGTTGCTGCTGCTGCTGTTGACACTGCCGTGGCTGCGCCTGGTGGCAGAATGTCCCTCATCCTGCCTCGTCGCACTCCGCTGCATGTCCACTTTGTGGAGAGCGAACAGCAGGACAATCAGGAGGAGGAGGAGGAGCACCATGAACGGGAAGCGGTGCAAGGTAGGCGGCGCTGCATGCACCTTGCACTGCTCTCCCAGACTGCATCTTCACCCTGTCTTAAATGCGAATTAAAGCATGAAAAATTAACGTGGAAAACTCTGACCATTTCCATTGATTGCCCGTGTGTTTCCGTGCCTTGTTTGATCATTAGCCGTAATTGTGGAAAACTCGTGTGTTAATGCAACAATTTTCTCTTTGCAGAAGAGGCCAAAGTGGCCGCCGAGGAGCTCACACATTCGCCGGTGATTGGACAGCGGCAGGCGGCGGAGGCGGTTGCCACCGCCAGTCCCGTACAGTCGCGTGCCTCCAATGAGGCCTGGCCGGTGCAGTCGGACGAGGACATCGACCGCCTGGTGGCCATGCATCAGAACCGCAGCAGTCTCAGCTCTTTGGGGGTAAGTTCAGGCTTAAAGTGAGTCAAACTGAAATGTGGAATTAATGTGGCACCCCTTCAGGTTCGCTCGGAGTCCATGGCCAGCGTTTACTCTGGCGCTGGCGAGGGTCGCTATGGCACTGTGGTGGTCAAGGGTCAGGTGGAGTTTGCCATGCAGTACAACTACAAGCTGGCCGCCCTCGAGATCCATGTGGTGCGCTGCAAGGATCTGGCCGCCGTCGATGCCAAGCGCAATCGCAGCGATCCCTATGTGAAGGTTCGTATTATGCTCTTAATTTTCCCACTGAGTTCCATGCTGATATATGGTGATTATTATGGATTATTCCATTAGGTATACCTGCTGCCGGATAAATCAAAGGCAGGCAAGCGGAAAACCAAAGTCAAGAAGCACACCCTCAATCCCGTCTTTGACGAGACGATGCGTTTCCACACGTCCATCGCCAGCCTGGAGTCGCGCACCCTGTGGCTGACTGTCTGGCACTCGGACATGTTCGGGCGTAACGACTTCCTGGGCGAGGTCTCCGTCAATCTGCAGGGACGTGTCTTTGACAATCCCCAATCGCAATGGTATCTCCTCCAGGAACGGGTAAGTGCAGAATTTCCAGCTGTAGAGTTTCCATATCTAACGATCCATCCCATCATGCCCCGCAGAGCGAACCCTTCGATGAGGTGGCCACCTATCGCGGCGACATTGTGGTGGGCCTCAAGTACATTCCCCCCCGAAAGCCTGAAGTCGTCGTTCTTCTCGCGTGGCTCCTCCCTCACGGGCAGCTCCTCGAACCTGCGCAAATTCGGTGGCAGCATCAAATCCGTCGCCTCAAAGTCGGACCGCACTGCCAAGGGCGGTCAGCTGCATGTGCTGGTCAAGGAGGCCAAGCATCTGAGTCCGATCAAGGCCAACGGCAGCTGCGATGCCTTCTGCAAGAGGTGAGTGCATCCACTAATCTCCCTCCCACAGAATCAATAGACTTATCAATGGGCAAAATTCATTTCAGTTATCTGCTTCCGGATCGCACGCGCAGCTCCAAGCAGAAGACGCCAGTGGTAAAGCGCACGCTGCATCCCACCTGGAACTACACCTTTGTGTACGAGGATGTCTCGCTGGAGGACTTGTCGGAGCGCGCCTTGGAGCTGACCGTCTGGGATCACGATCGGCTGGCCAGCAATGAGTTTGTCGGCGGCATACGTTTCTCCTTGGGCACGGGTAAGTCAAACAAAGGATTCCCTGCCACGATTCGATGGACCGAAACTAAACTCGAATTTGTTTCGCCGCAACAGGTCGCAGCTATGGCCGCCAGGTCGAATGGATGGATGCCACTGGCAAGGAGCTATCGCTGTGGCAGAATATGCTGGATCGACCCAATTTCTGGGTGGAGGGCAGCTTGGTGCTGCGCTCCAGTCTGGATGGCATTCGAGCCACATTGCCATAGGAGCACGAGCCGGAGCCAGAGCCTCCACTTGCATATTAGTAAATTATTTGCTAGAATCCACAAGCCACAATCCACAAAGTTGCAGTTAGAGTTTGCTGCCCATGGGCACAACATTGTATTGTATTGTATTGTATTGTATTAACTATCGATTAAGCTACGATGACAGTCGATAACGATGACTCTGAGAAGCATTATTATTAATGTTCTAAGTAAAGGCATAAGTCAGTTACAGTTACAGATGCAGAACTGAACTGAACTGGACTGACTGGCCTAATTAATTGATTGTTTGTTTGTTTGCACGTGGCCAGAGTGGCCACATCCACAGCTAGAGTTAAGTTTAAGTGTGTAGGATCATCATATATGTATGGATGATTCCTGAATACTCGTACTCGAATATGGCGATGACGCTGCACGCACCCATACCCCACAGACGTAAATAAACCGAGCGCAAATATAGAACAAAACGCAGAGCAAAACGTTATCTAACGTTATGGCATTACTCTACTTATGGCAGCGCAATTCTCAGTGCAGATAAAAAAAAAAAATAAAAAAAAAAAATAAAACTGTAAAGCAGCAAAACCACGAGAACTACAGTATGAAGCGACGATGATGACGCAGCCCAAGGGCTGCCTGGGCTGCCTAGATAATTAGCTCTACCATGTTTATATGTGTATTCTTTCCCAACCTCTCTCCCTCTCCCTCTCTGAGAGGCACTTGCAATTCGCATACTGTATGCACTTAAAGCTAAACACGATAAAAAAGCTACAACTAAAATACTATAACTAAAGTATAGTTCAAAACGAGACATAAGTTTACCATGTATACCTATCCATAATATGCGCGGAAAATACAAATAACATTTTTTTGTAAATTCAATTTTCTTTTTTTATTTTCTACGTTCTTTTTGGTTTTTTATAGATCATAAGTAGACAAATGCATATGCACAAGCATATTCATACATATGTAGTATCTACGCAGACATTCATACATATCGCAAAACATTGTGCAAATCCAGCTAAGCTTCGTGTCCAAAAAAAATACCCAAAACCTAGCCCCAACGTAGCCATCGATGTTGAATCAATCAAATCCGTACAGATTAATTCCCATAGCAGCCAATGAAATGATATCATGCTCCCTCCAAACCTTAATACAATCTGTGGAATTTACATATGTTAGTGTGCTACTCTACATACTATGATGAATAAGCCAGCCCCTCGGGTGTGTTGGGGCAGCTCTACTATAACATAAAAAAAATGGAAATGAATTGTTTCAGAGAAATCATTTTTAAGAAATACAGAAACGAGTCTTATGAATGCTTTTGGTGTAAGTGTATACATATTTACCATGAATACCATGAATAATACAAATCAAATAATGTTTAGCGTTGAATGAAAATATGAAAACATATAAAATGAAAACATGACAAAATTTATAGAAGATGTTTTTTTATAAAAGAGAAAATTGCTGAATCACTCGTTGCCTAAATACCGCTTGTCTTTTATACTCGATGTTTTCGAAACACACACACTGACACACACACACACAAAAATGCACATGCCTGAAATTTGGTGATGATATAAGTACTATACACACACACACACATCAGTAGAGGTGGAGAAGGAGTAGGAGGTGGAGTCCCTCCCTCACTCACTCAAGCAGTAAGATATGGAAATGCATATATCTACGGGGATAATGTGTGCAATGGATAAGAATACTTTCTCTAAATCAAGCATATGTATATGATATTGTATGTCAAACAATAAGCAGCAAATATTGCAAAACAAAAAGTAAATGGTATTTAGTAGCATACAAAAGCGCAATGTATGGGGAAGCATAAATAATTATACGATATACATATAAACTATGTATGTAATTCTAACAACAATTAGTCTATAATCTAAGGTTAAAGCGTTTGCTGTTGTGTTGATTGGTTCTCGAATCTAGCCATTAATATTTGTTGAGATGCCAATCACACCCACACATATACACACCACATGTAGATATATATATAGTATATAGTTTATTCTCTCGTCTCCAAAAAAAATGTTTCAACATTTACTACATGTATATTTTTCTACTATACGAGTATTACTTATGTACTTCTTTACCACCTAAAAGAGCTAAACTATCCTAGGGATTGGCATGGAATGGAAATTGTGTTTTAACAATGGATACTACATACAATATACTCGACCTTTACTTACCCACTTACCCACTCTGAGATGGTGCTATACATATACATACATATACTATATACCATATACTCGTAGAATACTCTCTCTCTCTCTCTCTGTCTGTATCTCTCCACCGCGTACACCCTCTCGGGTAGCGGTCGAAGGAATGGCGAGGCGAGGCGAGAAAAATCTCTTTTTACCTCTTTTTACCTGTGTATTATTGGAGTATGTGCATTTCGGATTCAACTGAACTATTGTGAACCTAGAGTGTTGATTATACAAAGGGCATTGTTACATATATATACGATATACAAACATATGTGCATATGGAATGCAGTCTTCATATATCTACCTACCTATCTACACACATCTACTGAGATACATTACTTATATATACCTATAGTATAGTATAACACCTTTACAAGCAATGCGTATGCGAATAGGTACCACCACCACCACACTCGCATTCCCATAGACTTAAGTAATTTCAGATACTAGAACAAAATGTTATAAGACCGAGTTGTTAAGAGAAACCATAGCAATTAGGATATTTCTGATGGCGTTTTTGCTGGCATTGCTGGCAGGGCATGCTGCATGTACACAAATTATTATTATAGTTACGTTACAGATAAAGATACAAATATCAGAAATACAAAAAAAAAATATTTATGTACCCATTGTATTTGTTAGCAATCGCCAGAATTGCTCAGTGAAACAAAAACAGACAAAACGATTAACAAATATTTGAGTATGAGCACGGAATTCGATTGTGCATACACGTATAGGCCGATGAGCCACGCCCCCCAAAAAAAATATACATGTTGCGTTAAAGTAGAGAACTTTTGTTAGCGAGTACACACATAAGATACGCACACACACACACACACACACAGATACACATATATACACATAGATACTGATTAATCGCTGCAGTTGCCTTCATATTAAGTAGCCAACCCGTGTACCCGTCTACCACATACATATTCTGTTTCACAGCTCAACCTGATCTATCCTACATACATACGTACTGCCCTGAGAACAATCGTTTTACATCCAATAGTTAGTTAACTTTACCACTAAATCTTATACATATGAAACTAAGAGATTTCCTGAGTTCTACCTCAACTGATTAACTGATTAAAAAATGTCTTTCAAGCAATAATCCAATCCAAATTAAGTATCCGGGCAACTACCAGCGACTGTGTGATGCTAACTCTAAATTTTCACACTTAGATTTTAAGCATTTAATTCGGTTCGGAGAGTTTTTCGGTTGCTATTTTTCCAGGCAATTCTCTAGTTATGCTAACAATTGGTAAGACTTTCTATTGCCCTAAGCAAAATACACCTACACACACACACACACACACCAGATACACATACAAAAGCCGTTATTTTTATGGCATTTAAGCGTTGCATAATTACAAGAGTTTACATAACCATTTACAAAGATAAAATATACTTATGAACCTTTTACTTACAAGTAAGTACTTAATACATGCGACAAAAAAAATACCGACGATACACGATACAAGAAAATTTAATAATAATGAGCTCAAGAAATTGGCTCAATACGCCCCGGACCGCACCGGACCGGACTCTCGCTCCAAGTAAAAATTGTGTTAGAAATTGTGAACCGCAATGAAATCAATCAAATAAAGCAAAATTCACATCTACTGACAATCCTCTCGTGTGTCTCTGTCTCTAATACCTATTGGGGGGGGAAATCACATCAGCCACTGACTACACTTCAGCCTCCGTTTCAGACTTGGCGGCGTGTTGGCCATTGATCGGATGCAGCTTCAGCTCTTCGGCGGGCTGCTTGGACACATCGTCATCGTGGGGCCGCCAGCAATCGAACGAGAGCATGGACTCGTCCTTGCCAAAGGCCTCGCCATCCGCCAATGTGATGGGAAGCTGTCTGTAATTAAAAATAAATAAATCTTTAACAAATTCCATATTAAATTAACTGATTGCCCCCTCGCTCACCTGTTGTTCGTCTCCGGCAGCATAAGCGTGCAAAAGGCGGCAGTCAGCAGAAGCAGCGCCAGGATCAGGGACGTGGCCGCTGCTAGCTTGCTGCTCAAATGTATGAGGTAGGGCGATAGAAAGGAGGCACCCGCGGCAGCCAGATGCACTGCAGCAATGCCACGCGATCGGACACAGGTGGGCAGCAGCTCGGAGGCATACTGGGAGGTCACTGTGTAGCACAGGGAGATGCCCAGCCGCATGGGCAGGGCAAAGGCCAGCAGCAGGGTCACACTGCTCTGTGCTCCCTCCGTGGACAGAGCCACGCCTAGGGCGCAGGACAGCAGTCCCGTGCAGAGCATGGCCAGAAAGGCGGTGGCCTTGCGACCCACACGACTCTGCAGGAGCCCTTGGATGAAGCCCGATGGCGGCACGACGACAGCAAACAGCGAGAAGACCACAAAGGGCGACATACCCAATCCCTCCACATTGCGGGAAATGGTGTTGAAGCTCAGCGAAGTCAGCATGCTGCAAATGGACAAATTAATGAAATAGTTTCCTATCACTGAACAGACTGACCTACAATATCAGCACCACCAGCAACGAAATCTTTCGCAGATTGGGAGTTCGCAGCAGGTCAATGATGCCAGCCGTCTGCTCCGGCTGATTCGATAGCTTCCGCTTGGCTATGCAGTTTCTGCGGAATGCCTCGAAATCCGCTGCCGCCACTTCTCGGCCATTGAAGTGGGCAATGTGCTTCAGCCTGGCAATGGCGCCCTCCACATTGGTGCGCGTAATCAGCCACTGGGCGCTCTCCTGCACCACAAAGTAGAAGAGGGCCACCACCAGCTGCAGCAGGGCCGAGCAGGTCAAGTAGATGCGCCAGTTGCCGGCCAGCACCGATAGCCAAGGTGCCACCAAAGCGCCCAGGCAGAAGCATATGCCCAGCGTTCCGCTAATGGCCAAATTCCTTAGCTTGGGTGCCAAGTATTCCAGCACTAGAAATGGATTATCGTATGTATACAGTCGATTCTTTCTAATGTTTAACTAAAGAAATTAACTAGCTTATATAAATTGAAACACACAAAAACGGGTAACACTCTACACTCAGGGAAAAATGGCACTCATTAAATTATGGTATAAGAAATGGCACAACTAAAACTATATTAAATATATTTTTTGTAGATAAAAAAATAGTGAAATTAAATGAATTTAATTCACTTTGATTAAAATATACATTTTTATCTGAATATAAAAAACTTTAAACTCCATTCAGAATAAATTTAATTTAAATATGAAAATAATTTATTTATATTAAAATATTTAATTTATATAAGAAAATATTTAATTTAAATATTAAATCTATTTATTTTAAATATAATGAATATATTTAAAATAAATATTTAAATTTAAGTGTAAATATTGCAATGTCAGGGCATTGTTCTCTGTGAGTGTACTGTGTGGAATGGAGAGACTCATCTAAGGCTTCAGATATCAAATATTTTGTGTTGACTCATGCTGTTGTTCATTTTGATCTTTCTATGTACATATGTACATACACTCCCACATATGTATGTATGTACACTTACTGTATATAATAATAAAAAAAACACTGGAGAGTACGCTATAGCGTGCTCAAGATATGGCAATGCTTACCCAGAATAAACATCAGATAATAATTCGCTGTGGCCGCGAGACCCGAAATGCACCGAAAGATGGCAAACTGCACCAGATTCGAGGCATAGGTGGTAAGAAAGTCGCCCACAAAACCGCACTGGTTGGCCAGAATAACGGCACGCACTCGCCCAATCCTATCGCCGAGCATGCCAAAGGTGAAGGTGCCCATGAGGGAGCCCAGAAAGAACAGCGACTGGCCGATGCGTGCCTTGTAGGCGTCATCGCAGACCCAGTTAAGCTGCTCCACAAAAGAATCCCATTAATAATCATCGCTCCCTTGGGCAACTGTGCTTCCACATCTCTGGCTCACCTCAGCATTCATGCTCCTGAATCCAAAGTCGTAGTTATATATCCAGCGCTGACAGGCCTTGGTGCTCACTGTCAGATTGTTGCCCTCGATCGTCTCCAGCCGCGTGCAGGCGGCATCTTTGCCAAAGGGCGCATAGATGGCTGCGATCTCCTCGAAGCTGCGATTCGCCAGCTGTTCGTGGTAGCACCAATGCTGCGGCACAAACCCAATGATGTTCTGTGAGTAATAATGCACTGTGGTGGTGAAGGCTATGTAGCCGAGCAGCAGTATCATGAGGTACTGATAGCGACCCGCATTTCCGCATTTCTCCAAAATCTTGTCAAAGTCCATGTCTCTGTCTCTGATGACAAGACGGCCGCGAGGGTCGTTGTTCTCGTGCTGAGATTCTATTAAGACTAAGCCTCAGCTGATCTAAACTGATGTGAAACGAACCGAAGCGCAGCCCGAACTGCGCCGAAACAACGCGAAAGAGTGGAAGAGGGTGGCCCGCCCGCCGAATTCGCACGTTGTGTCTCGGTCTCGGTCTAGCTCTGATAAGATTGTATTTGGGGGCGGTGGGCCTGGGATAGTCGGGGGACTGGCTTATCGTGCGAGTACAATATATTGTATGTTCATGCATATACTCGTATAGTATGGCGGTTCTGCTCAAAAGAAAATCTTTTTTTATTATTTAAGTGAATTCACTCATTTATTCCAATCTAAACAAACGCCGGCGTCTCAGGAGAAGCCTTCTCTCTTTCTCTCTCTCGGTCTGTCTCTCTCTCTATGCTGGCATAGATAACAGTTAGTGGTGACCTCTGAAATGTGTTTCAAATACATAATAAACGGATTCGCAGTTCAATGGACTCTCAATAAAGTCACTCCCAAGATCTGACTGACAATTAGCCCCAATTACATACAGTTAGATGTGTGTATGTTCATGTTCATCTGCTTAAGGTCAAGTCTAATGCTTGCACTCGTATGTAACAAGCAAGTCAGAAATCTCTGGCACAGTGACTCCTATCTATAAACAGATTACTTATGCGTGCACATGTAAATCAACCTTAAACGTTTTGTTTTGTAGAGCTGTGTGAGAGGAACACATTAAGATTCTGGAAATTAATTTTCTGCTGTAGCGTTTTTTTTTTTTTTTAAGATTTTATTTCACAAAGCCCAAGTGCTAAGGTTTGATTGAACTCTTCAGTTCTGCTGCGGTATAGCAGCTGACTTAACTCTAATAAATTTATTCTCATGAAAAAACCTTTTATATTTTCCTTCGGGAAGCTCGGGCTGGATCGGATCGCATCGGGTTGGATTGGATTGGGTCAGAAAGATGGTGAATTGTGAAATTTCAAATTGCAGCGTCTGCAGAAAGCTGGGCATTGGCTGCGGCTCAAGACCTTCTGACCAATCTTCGGTGGTCGAACATTTCTTATATATTTTTATGAGAAAAAAAAAGTTTGCTTATACAAAGCCCGGGTGGCCTGATTCAAACTGTGGGAATGCAAAGTTTTTTTATAACTCGTCTAAGAGTTCAATGGGTATGGACGGGTACGTTAACTTGCAGGCAGTATCATATCGGACTCCTTTCGGGGCGTGATATATATGTACATATAATCTAATTTTCGTACCTTCCTTCCACTACCCTCGGCTAAGCTCTTCTGAGTTGAGTCTTCGTTTGTCTACTTTTATACTCGTAGCATTCGGTCCGAAATTCGTATTGTCATCTTTATGTTTATATTGCAACAAATTAATGTTAGTTTATGTTGGCTTGTCTCTGAGCTTTTATCTTTGTTATGGGCTATATAATAATCACACGTCAGATGTTCGTATGTCTGGCGATCAATTGGCTGGCTGGGTAGTTGCTTAATCCCCACCTTAGTAGATGTTCTTTCATTATGTTATCGGTCATCAAACATCGCGCCCTTCTAATTTGAACATTTTGGATAAAGACCCTTTCGCTTGCATTCCGGAAACAGCTTACCCACATGAATAATTAAACTTTACTTTCACTTTTTACACACACAATCGCACGCACACAATCGCACACACACAGAGTGGGTTTATTCGGGCATTAGTTTCTGATTGGTCTCGGCACTGAGATCGACATCATCGCCGTTCCTTTTGGGGCGACGCAGGAAGTCAAACATGCGCTCCCCCTTGCCAAACTGCTCGCCCTCGGCCAGGGACATGGGCAGCTTCTTGTTGCGCGTCTCTGGCATGAGCAGGCACATCCAGGCGCTGACACACAGCAGCAGACAGATGATAATCGAGGAGGCAGCCCGAAAATAGGCGTCCAGATGCAGAATGAATGGCGAGAGGAAGGAGAACGCCGCGCCGGACACATGGGCCACCGCCAGCATACCAGAGCGCACACAGGTGGGCACAAGCTCGGCGGATATCTGCATGGTAGAGCCCGTACAGACGGAGATTCCGAACCGCGAGGCCAGAATGAGGGCCACCAGCAAGAGGGCGCTGGGCTGCTGCCAGAAGGTCAGCAGTATGCCGCAAGCGGCCGTCATTAGACCAGTGGCCACCATGCTGCTCACCGCCGTGAACTTGCGGCCGACACTCTTTTGGGCCTGGGCCTGAAACAGGCCCGAAGGCGGCAGCGTCAGTGCGAACAGAGTGAACATGATGAAGGGCGAAATGCCCAGACCCTCCACGTTGCGGGACATGGTGTTGTAGCAGAGTGTGATAATGGTGCTGCAGAGGGGAAAGAGGGGAGATAGCTCCTATGAAGGATCTGACCTAATCAAGCATGTTTCTCGCTTTCCACTTACAAGACAACCAAAACGTATATCATTCTGTTGCGCAGTCGTGGCGTCTTCAGGGCGTCCATTAGCTTGGACTGCGTCTGCATGGAGTGCCGACTGCTGGCCGACTCCTGGCCCTTGCAGTGGATGCGAAACTGCTCAAAGTCCTCCTCGCTAACCTCGCGCCGATTGAAGTTGGCCACCCGCTTCAGCCGTCGCACAGCGCCGTCGATGTCGTGCCGGGTGACCAGCCACTGGGCGCTCTCCTGCACCAGGAAATAGAAGAATGTGACCAGTAGCGGAGGCAGGGCGGACCAGGCCATAAACGTACGCCACTCGCCCACCCAGACGGCCTGCCAAGAGGCGCTTATCATGCCCAGAGAGTAGAAGAGGGTCATAATTATGTTGAGGCCAACATTGCGCATCGCGGGCGACACGTACTCGAGCACTGTTGTGGGCGAGAGTTAAGACAAGATAAGTTTTAGAGCCCCTGTTTAGATAACGTACCCAGAATATACATCAGGTATCCGTTAGCTTCGGCCGCCAATCCCAGACACGAACCGACTCACTGAGAATGTCGCCAAGCTCTGCGCGAATATCGTAGCGGTGTCGCCCAGAATTCCACACCAGTTGGCCAAAATCATCGCCTTGATGCGTCCCATGGTGTCGCCAAGCAGCCCAAAGATCAGAGTTCCGCACATGGAGCCCACAAAGAACAGCGACTGGCCCACACGCGCCTTATAGGCGGCATCACAGACCCAATTGAGCTGCAACGAGAGAAAAACTATAACGATCAGATCCAAAACCCTAGGAAGGTGGCGTCTCTGCGTTCAACATACTTCAGCATTCATGCTCCTGAACCCAAAGTCGTAGTTGTAGATCCAACGATTACAGGCCTCGCTGCTCGCTGTGGCATTGCCTCCATCCGGATCGATCGATGCCAGACGCGTGCAGGAGGGATTCTCGAACTGCGAATAGATGGCGGCGATCTGCTCAAAGCTGCGATTCGCCAGCTGCTCGTGGTAGCACCAATGGTCGGGCACAAAGCCGATCACATTCTGGGCGAAGTAGTGCCTGGAGACGACGAACATTAGGAAGCCGTAGAGCGCCATCAGCATGTACTGGTAGCGATGACAGTCGCCGCACTTGCCCAGTATCTTCTCAAAGTCCATCTCCATCTGCTGCGTGGTTTCGATTCTTCTTCCAATTCAGCCAATAGAAAGATGCATTGGCATTCCACAGTCCACGGTGTGTATGTGGTGTGGTGTGGTGTGGCGCGTGTTGGCTGTAGGCTGGGGGTTGCGGTGTGGGGTGTGGGGGGATAGAGCACTCGGTTGGGTCCGTTGCTCGTCCGCTCTCTGTCGCTGCCACGCGCTTACTGCCATACGCACTTCTCCGCTCCGCTCCGCTCCGCTCAGCGCCACTCCACTCTACTCAATTCCATTCCGATCCGATCCGTCCGCCTTGGCTGAATAGTTAAGAGCGCGCGCGCCCAGCACTGCCGCAGTGTTGTGAAAGCGGCCTCGTCTAAACTAAACTGATATTGGGAGTTGAATAGTGTGGAATCGACTCTTCAGTCTCTCCCCAGCTGATATGTAGCTCGCTGCGGGCGAACCCCCAACTCAAATGAAATGTCCGCCGATTCGATCATAACTTAGACGTATTGATTTAATTATTGGTCTTGATAAGCGACTCCCAACCGACTATTCAAAATTTATAACTTGGCTATTGGCCATTACGAGTGTTGCATAAATATGCGTGTGAGGGGGGTGCTTGGGGGGATACATTTACCACTTTTGTGTGTTTTAGTTGAGTGAAAAATATAGCGGATTCTAATATATGATAATTTTTAATACAGATTCGCTATGTAATTTAAATTCATTCGAATAACCTGCACAGATTTAAGTTTTTAATTTTTAGAATTTAATCATATTTCTTAATCGGGAAACAGTTTCTTGTACGTAAGTCTGCTCAAATACAGTCAAAGGTGCATGGAGTGGTAACAGTTTCTTTTTTTAAACCACATAAATCTCCCTCCATCCCTTTGGGACTTCCGAAGCATTATCGCACACATCTTATCGTGCCCAAATAAAGGTTCATCCATTATGGCCTAAGATAACACAGCTACTGTGAATTTCAATTTATTGTGTGGCTTAATGGCAGGGAAATTTATACACAGTTAATTCCGTTTTCCACTGAATCACGAATCCCTTTGCTCCACGAGTATTTTCAAGCAATTTTCGTCATGAGGTTGGCCTCTTCCTTGGCCAGAGCACTCAGCCCGACATTACCTGTTTCCTTAGCCTGGCCCTCTCCTTTTCGCAGTTCAATGAGAAAATCGAACATGCGTTCGCCTTTGCCGAACTCCTCGCCCTCTGCCAGGAACATGGGCAGCTTGCGATTTCGCGTCTCGGGCAGCAGCAGACAGACATAGGCCCCCGCCAGGAAGAGCAGACCCAGGATGATCGAAGGCGCCGGCCTGAAGTACGTGCCCAAGTGCAGGATGTAGGGCGAGAGAAAGGAGGCGGCAAAACCGGCCACATGCACCACAGCCACACCCCGACCACGCACACAGGTGGGAATGAGCTCCGTGGAGAACTGCGCACTGGCACCATCGGCAATGGACACCCCAAAGCGGGCGGCCAGCGTCAGAGCCACCAGCAGCAGAAAATTCTGTTGGCTGCTGGCCTGCGCTATGACGAGACCCGCGCCCGCAGCGAACAGTCCCGTGATGAGCATCCAACTGACGGCGGTGGCCTTGCGACCGATGCGATCTTGCAGCAGTCCCTGCAGATAGCCCGAAGGCGGCAACGTCAGTGCGTTTAGCGAGAACATAATGAAGGGAGAGATGCCCAGGCCCTCCACGTTGCGGGCAATGGTGTTATAGCAGGGCGTGATAATTATGCTGTTGATATAAAAAAATATTAATAACTTATTTGACACTTAAAAACCATTCGGTAGCTGAATAATATAAATAAATGCCAAGTCGGTCTTGAATGGTGTGGAATAACTTTCCCATTCTAGCTCAGAGTTCTCCCCTTACGAGTACAACTTCCAACACTAACTCTATTTTAATTATAGCTTAATTAATCCGATCGAAATACTTACAAAATCAATAGCAGTTTGAATGCCGTGCTGCGCATGCGCGGCGTCTGGAGCATGTCGAGCAACTTGGTCTGATTGTTGGCTGCCTGGGCCTCCCTCTGGCAATGCTGCTCACAGTAGCCGCGGAACGCCTTGAAGTCATCGTCGCTGACCTCGCGGCGATTGATTTTGGCCACGCGCTGCAGCCGCGTAATGGCTCCATCGATATCGTTGCGCGTGACCAGCCACTGGGCGCTCTCCTGCACCAGGAAATAGAAAAGCGTCACGAGCAGCAGTGGCAGCGAGGAACAGGCCAGAAAAATGCGCCAGTGACCCACCCAAACGGCCAGCCAAGAGGCACCAATCAGGCCGAGGCAGTAGAAGCTACCCAGCACGGTGTTGAGGCCAATATTTCTCAGTGAGGGCGAGACATATTCGAGAACTGGTTAACGAAACAAACTGTAAGCCAAGTGGGTGAAGTATGTATAGGCCGATTCGTTTACTTACTTAGTATGTACATGAGATAGGAGTTGGCATCGGCCGCCAGACCAGACACGAAGCGACTCACCGAAAATGAAGTCAAACTTTCTGCAAATATCGTCGAGAAATCGCCCAGAAAGCCACACCAATTGGCCAATATCAGAGCCTTGATTCTTCCAATCCGATCGCCAAGCAATCCAAAGACGAGTGTGCCACAGACGGAGCCCACAAAGAACAGCGACTGACCCACTCGCGGCTTATACGCCTCATCACATACCCAGTTCAGCTGCACACAGAAGAGAAGCCATTAGTACTGGTACTTGGCAGAACTAAAGGGACTTACCTCCGTGTTCATGCTCCTATAGCCAAAATCATATTTGTAAATCCAGCGATTGCAGCGCTCTGTGCTCGCCGTGGCATTGCCTCCATCCGCGTCTATCGATGCCAGACGCGTGCAAGAGGGTTTCTCGAACTGGGCATAGATAGCCTCAATCTCGGCAAAGCTGCGATTCGCCAGCTGCTCGTGGTAGCACCAATGGTCGGGCACAAAGCTGATCACATTCTGGGAGAAATAGTGCATCGATATGACGACCATGAGGAAGCCGTAGAGCGAGAGCAGCAGAAACTGATAGCGACTGCTGTTGCCGCACTTGGCCAGAATTTCTTCGAAATCCATGTTTTCACCGCGAGTGTTCCTTATCGGATTTGCGGCCCACGTCTCTAGCGGTTGCTCTCAATGTTGTGATAAGCGCATATCGGAGGAGGCGCCTGCCATTTATTTGGGGGAAACGAAACCAGCTACCAGCTACTCGCCAGCTGGTTCGGGCTTAGGCGATCGATCGCCCAAATCGTTTTATTTACCCCGAACACTCTCTCAGAGAGTTTATTGAACGCAACAGAAACCCGTTCCGTGTGTTCTGGTGGCACGGAGAGCACACAACCAACTGGTTGCGAGACTGCCACACAGGCCAGACCAGACCCGACCCAGTGCCAAAAGTGCTCCGAGAGAGATTTGTATTCAAAGAGTTAATTTTTCGCTCACTCTCTATGTATTTTATGTTTTGAAAATTAAATTTACGCACATTCGAGAGCGGGCTTGGAGAGTCTGAAATTTTTCAATGCTATAGAACATTTGAATTTCAATTAATTTCAATTTTTTCCACTTAATTTTGATTGACGAGCAGCGCAGCAAAAATATTTTTAATTGTTTAATAAAGCAGTACTAACCAATATCAATTTGATTTTCAGGACTTATCAGGAATTTGTTAGATACATTTGCTCAAGTTGCATTGAATAAGTTTGCGAAACACCTTGAGTTTATGTATAACTCTGCTGTGTGATTTTAACATTTTATTGATTAACATTTTATTAATAAAATCGGGGTACAATATTCATTGGAATTAATAGATCATGAAAAATACATTCTGCAGTTAATAAACTGTTTTTTTTTTTGTAAATTCCTATGAAATATAAAATTCAACTGATTTATGTTTATTATGCACATAGTCTATTATTTCTGCAGACTTATAGCGTTAAGCTGTTGAAAGAACAATATATGAAAAAAAAATTCAAAGTCGACAGAATTGATAGTGATGTTTGGTGGCTGGTGGCAGTCCTGGAAGTTACAGAACGTAATTTGTCTTCTTTTTTTTTTGGGTATTTAAGAGCTTTATTGTGTGATGCACGAAAGTCTGGCTTATATTAGGAACGGGAGCTGAGTAACTCCTTTAGCTGGAAATAACACAAGATTACACATTGACGTATACTTAACCTGCACTTGCCACAAGCCCCCCGAAAGTTCATTAAAAACACTTTTCGTTTATGTTTTTTATTGATTTTATTTTAGTTCTTTTTTGTTTGTTTGTATTTGTTTACGTGTTCATCAATTACAATTGCTGTTTAAATGGATATATGTATGCATGTCTACATTTGCTGCCTTTTGAATATATTTGTATTAATATTATTATTATTAGCTTTAATATGAATCAAAACCATACATATTACATGTACATAAATGTATGCAATTGTTGGTTGTTGGTTTCCCCTCTCTCTTTCTCACTTTCTGTGTGTCTGGTCTTGGCTTTTTATAAATGTAGTAAACGCAGTTTCGTGATAACATGATAGATACATATGTAGATACAGATGCTCGTGGATCCTATTACAAATTGCATCTGACTTAAGTAGAATTCATACATTGGTAGGTTGGGTATAGGGTAAAGGTATATCAAACTGTACATACATACATACATTAGATGCAATGCGTTAACTAAATTTGATTAACAACTAAACTACTTAGCCGGTACGAGCCTAGTACAAGTCATTTTATAATTAGTTTGAGTAAATAAGCAGTAGGTGCTAGGTAATTAACTTAAGACTCTTACACAAAAAACGATGCACACACACACAGACACTCTCAACTTGATATACACTATAAATAATACATATACATTTAGTTGTAGATAGTACATTTAAATGGGCTATAACATATACCATACTTCAGTTGCGTAATAATAAATAGTCGAAGAAACCATCATGCGTATAGACTAAAGCCCTGAATGGGGGGGAGGGAGGGTAAATCAAACACTACAACACTACGATCCATCCATACAATTCAGTCACAATTCACTTTCAATTACAGCTGGGGGCCCGCGGATCGTTAAGCCGGAATACATACAGTACGTTACATAACATAATATTACAACTACATACACATGGGATACACATCTATGCTCATACTAGATTATTATCTTGCTTCTCTGTCTGATAAATACATACATACATAAAATATAGTTCTATAAGAAAGTTGTCCGTACACGTGGGTTTTGGGGGGTAAAACAAAATTATTGCGAACATAGACTAGTTTAGATTTGATAGTTCCAACACCTGCCCATGTCCATGTACTCTACTTATAAAGGGTTATACAGCCTGCCAATCGCTCAACTGCACTCAATGCTATCATAGAAGATCTCGTCATCTGGCTCTGGCTCTGTTTCTGTTTCTGGCTCCGATTGCTCCTCCTCAAAATCATCTACATCGTAGGAAATCAGCGACTGCAGGCTGTCATCAGCGAGCAGCTTGTGCTGCACATGATGTACCTCGAAGGGATTTGCATCGTTTGGTGGCGGACCAAACCAGATGGCACCTTCGCCCCGTTCCTCCTTAGCTCCAGCCACGCTGCCCATGCTCATGGCCTCCACAGCTCTGGCCTCAATTGAATCACTGTAGCCATAGTCGAAGGTGACCAGCAGGTTGGCACTGCCACAGTCCATGGAGTCGGGCGTGGTGTATTGCGTGTAATACGAATCGTAGGCCGTCTCCTCGGACACATCGTGAATATCGTGTGGCATCTGCTGATAATCCAGAACCAACTTCATGCCGCTAGTATTGGTATTGGTGTGGGTCTGGTTCTGGTTCTGGTTGCTCGTTTGCCATAGCTGCCGTTGCCAATTGTGGTTATTGAAACGGAAATTTGGCTTGTCAACAGGCTTGGCCAAATTCTGATCATCAAATTGGGAAGGATTTGGGGTAAAGAGCAAAGAACAACAAAATAGAATATCAAATCTTTGGTTGAAAAGGCGCAGTATAACAGGAATGATAACAGGAAACAGAAATAGGAACAAGAAAAGGTCATTCAAAATTTATTTGTAGGCACAAAGAATAGTTATAAAAAAAAATCGTTAGAGAAACACAAAAAGTTTATTTGGGATTAGCATAGAGCGGGGAAAGAGTTTTGTTCAAGTAACTGGGTAAAGCGGTTAGAACCCTCAACCATGGGCAAATTTTTTAGTTAGCACAGAGCATCAATTATCAATACCAATGTATATACAATATATGTAAGTTCTTCGTTGATCCTCCTGAGAGGCAGTCGCTTACTTGAGTTGAATTGGAAATTTGTGTGTGTGTTTTTTTTATGTGCAGCCCGGTTGCTATTCTAGGGGTAGAGGGGTGAGAGGAGGTTCTAGATAGTCTGGTAGTCTAGATCTACAAACTAAACAAAATCAAAAGCAATGCTACATAGTTTTTTCTGGGTAAGCAAAAGAAAGCTGTGTGTGTGGGGGAGTGTTTTTTTTTTTTTGTTGGAGTGGAAAAATGGTGGCGTGGAGTTTCGTGGAGCTTAACCTACTATGTGATTTACAACAAAAGAGAGAGAGACTTACGCGTATAACGAATTGCGGCAAAGTGTCTACTTCGTTGGCTTTGCTTTTGCCTCAAAAACAAAAGCAGACAAACGATATACAATAGAGTGGCGCTCTGGACTGAGGTCTGAGCTGTGGGGGGGGCCTCACTTTGAGGCTGAGCTGAGGATGACTTTGGGCGAGGGCGCATCTCCTTTTCTGTGGGCTGTCCGTTACCAAAAAAAACTCCAGACTTTTTTTTTCTATTTATTGTGTTAGCACTTCAGTTTTTGGGCATGCAGTTGAACCACCAACAAACATTAATCAATCAGTCAGTCAATCAAAACACCACACCATAAGTCCATATATCATCTGCTAGTCCATATACCAAACTCCGCTTAGGATCGACGCCTTAATTTCTCTACATTTTTGTTTGTTAGGAAAAAGTGGTTTTGTTTTTGTTTTTTTTTTTCTGCTTTTCACAATGGTTTTAGTTACATGTTGGGCTGTTGGTGGTTTTTAGGATTTTGGTTGTGGTTGGGTTGGCGGTTGATTTGGTTTTGGTTTTGGTTTTTTTTTTTGCAGGGATATTTTTGGTACGGTCAGATTTTGGGTATACAAAAGACGAGTATACGAGTGAGTTATAACAACAGACAGTATAAACATTTTTTGTGTGTTTTGTTTTGTTTTGGAGTAGACATACAGAAAGGCGCAGAAAGGAAAAAAAAGGTAAAAGTAAAAAAAAGAAATTACAGCATTAGATACAAATTATTTCAGGTGTATTCTCATCTAATTGGAATTGGAATTGGCAGCAAGAAAATATTGAAAATTCCTGTGTGGAAAGCCAAAAATGAAGCACTTGATGGTGTGATTTGAGTGTTTTTTTTTCTGTTTTGTTTTGTGTGTGTTAGTTGGAACTGCGGATGAGCTGCGGATGACCAAAAGCTGATGATCCTGTCTCCAAAGGGCATACCTTTGAGTCACATTTCAATGATATGTTGGGTGATATACTGGCAAGCATTTAACTGTAACTTAGGGCAAGTATTTAGTATTATTTCTTGATTTCTGGCATAAATTATTCACACAAAAAAATAATCGCATCGCGTATGTCTGCTATATAATAATTTGTTTGTTTTTTGTTGTTGTTGTATATTTCTACATATATATTATGTTTAATACGAGTAGCATATGCATATTGCTTCAATAGATCAATAAATTAAGCCCAATAAGGAGTGTAAGTTAAACTTAAATAAATTACAAATTACAAACAAAAAATCACTAATAATAATAATAATGTTCAGATACACACACACACACGCACACATACACGCAAGGTGATAATTAACTTAAGGCTCGAGGCGGCCTTCGTATGAGAAATTGTCTGCTGAAGCAAACAATGAGGCTGAGGCATGCGCTTACTTGAGTACAAATTAACCGAACAACAATTAACGTGATTTGCATAATGTGTACGAGAGTAAATGATATACGATACATACGAGCAGTACATAGCCATACATGCATTGGCTTTTGTTTTTATTTTCATTTCTTTATGTACAAAACTATGTAAAGGAAATATTGCTACTGCTGCGGTTGTGGCTGTTGCATGTGAAATTGTTTGATTAATTAATGCATCAACTACTGAGCACCTAAGGCATCGATAGGCAGTGAGAGCTTGATAGGCAGCGGCACCTTTCACTAGCCAAGTGGATGCGTTGAGTCCAACGACCCACGAGCTACGATTTGTTTGCACAAGCTTCAACGGGTATATTCATTCTATTCAAACGTGTGATTTGTGTGCTTAATGGACATTTGGAAACCTTTGAAACGAACAAACATTTCCCAAATGCTGTGGGTATCAGAGAACGAATCCACGTAGAACTGGAGAGTTACTATGGCAAGAACAGACATACAAGGCTTGTTTTTTTTTTTGGATAAACATATTTAAAAAAAGGATATCGAAATATTCTGAAAATATGAGTTTGATGAAAAATAATCGAATGAATTCTTTGAATAAATAGAGGCTGTTTTTTGTCAGCTTTTAGTTCTGATACGAAAATCAGTAATCCGCAGATTATAATTATCTTTACTGGAACTATCTGGGATTAGGCTGAGACGAATAACAATTTGGTAACAGGTGTGGTGGGGCGGGGGGTATCGTTAATTCACATAAATATGTATATAATATGTAGTGTATATGCATGTGTATGTTTCGCATGTATGTATGTATGCTGAGGGTTAATTGTGTGTACACATATGTATGTATAAATAAATAGAGCGCGATATATATGTATGCACGTATGTAACTATGTATGTACTAGTTAATAACGCATACAGACAGACAGTTGTTGTTGTCGCTGGATTTGGATTTAACTTGAACTTTGAACTGTAACTGTAACGAAGGCGATGATGCTTGTGGTTCTTTGTTGTTGTTGTTGTTGTAGTAATCGTTATCGAAGGCATATTAAACGGTAATCAGTAGATATATATATGTATACGTATATATGTCTGTATATATATATGATATATTTATAGTAAATGTATATGTGGGGGGAGGGTGTGGTGTGTATCGGTATCGGTATTATATCAGTTGTAAGTATGTGTATGTATTATAATACGTATTTTCACTTGAACCAACCCAATAATGTTGATTTGAGAGTGCGTACCTTGCCACTATCACTGTCGACGCCACCGCCGCCCCCATAGCTGGACGTGGGCGTGCTGTTGGCCAGAGCCAGAGCTTCGTTCTGCTCCCGCCCCAACCTGCCAGCGGCACCCACAGAGGCGCTGCTGTACCGCCTCGACACACCCAACGGTGCACGCTCGCTGCTGCCACCACGTCTATGGTGGTAGGGAGCCCCCGCCGAGTTGCCCATCTGCAGCTGGAGATCCTTGCGCAGCGTCGTGCTCAGCTGGGCTGCAATGGAGGAGGCGGAGGAGGAGCCGTTGCTGCCCTTGGTCATCTCCGGCGACTGCTGGGCACGCGACAGCGAGTCCAAATGACGCACCCGAGAGCTGATCGTGTCGCGCTTCAGCTTGGGCAGCGGCGAATTCTGCAGCACACGCGGGGACGGAGTTGTGGCCGTGGCAGCCATCTGCGACTGGCTGCGATTGCCCGTCGAGCCGGAGGAGTAGGGTGTGGTGGCCAGCGGTATCGACGACGATGTGGAGCTCCGGCTGGTGTTGGTGCTCAGCGAGTGATTGGAGGCCGAGTCGGCTCGCCGCAAGCTGTGCTGCAGGTTGCCTGTGCTGCGACTCAGCGAGGACTTGCTGCCGTACGAGGTGCTGCTGGAGTTCTGCGCCGACGGCGGCGATCGTCCCCCGGTCGAGGGTCTGCCCGTGGGCGGTTTGCCGGCAAAATAGGCCGCCGCCTTGCTACCCGGCAGCGGTATCTTGCTGGGCTTGCTGGCACTTCCGAACTTACGGAAGGTGTTCTGTCGCGCCGGCGGCGTCTGCTCGAAGGGACTGACCCCACCGACGCTGGTGCTCATCACGCGGGCCGCAATGCTGCTGGGCGTGCTGCTGCCCAGCGGACAGGGGCTGCCCGCATTGATGATGCTCTTTCTTAGCGTCGAGTTGTTGTTGTTGTTGGGCGTGCAGTGCAGTGCCTGCCCCTGTCCCTGGCCCTGGCCTGGTGTCGTCTCATGCTCGTGTGCCGACTCAGTGCTGCTGCTGTGCTGCAGCTCGTCCATGGCCAGCGGCACCATGGCCTTCATGCTGGGCGTGCTGATCTGTGTTACTGGCGGTGCGGGCATGGCCGTGCAGGTGGAGGTGGAGTCCACCGAATCGGGCACGCCACGGCGACTCAGCATCAGCGTGGTAGAGGCGGACGAGCGATTCGTCTCGTAGTCATGCTGCGACGAGTTCAGATAAGAATTGGTGGTGCTGTTGTTCGCCTGCAGACGCGACTCCACGAGCCGCAGCTGTGCCTTGGTGCCCTCCAGCTCGATGCTCTTCTCCTCCAGCTGAAAGCGCAAGTGCTCGAACTCCTCGCTGCTCTTGTCCAGCCGCTTGGCCAGCAGCGTCTTGGACTTGCTGGACGTGTCCAGCTTCTGGGCCAGCACCTGATTCTGCACGGACAGTGTGAGCAGGTGGCGCTGCAGCTCCAGCACGTTCGTCTCCAGCAGAATGGCCGAGATGCGTTTGGTGTCTGTCAGCCGGCATTTGGTGTTACGCGCACCCGGCGTGCTTACAATGCCATCCAGGCGACCCAATAGTGCTGGCTGTTGCTGCCTCCTTGCTGTTGCTGTTGCTGTTGCTATAGCTGTTGTATCACTGCCTGAACTTTGATGGAATGCTGCCTCCTGCGCTGCTGCTGGCTGATCGACGACGACGACCGGCTGGAATGTGTTGTTGCTGTTGATAAAGTTGTTGCTGCTGCTGCTGTTGCTCGGGCGACTGCCATTCGAGAGCACCGTCGTCGCTGAGGATAGAAAGTTGCGTTGACTGGAGTAATCCGACTGGCTGGTGCTGCAGCGAAAATAAATAAACATAAGAGATTAATTACAGAGCTCATTCAATGCAGGGAAGTGCCCAGGTGCAGTGCCTTACCTGGAAGAGCTTTTGCTTTGTTGCATCTGCAACTGCTGCACGCGCAGACTCAGCTCCAGCTTCTGGGCGAGGGCCAGTTTCAGCTGCTCCTCGATATCCTTCTTCACGCTGATCATCTCCTCCATGCGATCGCTCATCTTGGCCGCCTTGATGCGGGCCGTTAGCGTCTCCGCCTCCATTTCGGCCAGCTTATCGAGCAGCTGATCGCGCTCCTTGCGCAGCTGCTTGAAGTCCTCGCGATTCAGTCGCTCCACCTGCTCGAGGAACTGCTTCTGCGTCAGTCCGTTGGCGCCCGCCTCCTCGCCGCAGCCCTTGCTCTGCAGCTGCTCCACCTTTTCGAGCACACGATTCGATCTGCGGTGTATGACATCCAGCAGATTGAACAGCTCGTCGTCGGACTCCGAACCACTCAGCCGATTCGCTGCTATGGCCACCTGTGAGAGCAAATAGAACAGAGATTAGACACGCTGAGATTAGGGGTTTACCTAATGGCACTGGGACTCACCGTCATAGCACCATTGGTGGAGGAGGCGCTGTGACCCTCCTTGGAGGAACTGGTCTCCGTTGAGAAGCCGGAGTCCTGCACAACGCTACCGTTGTTGTTCTCTCCGCTCTTTGGCTCTTTCTTGCCGCTGTGCGAATTGCTGCGGCTGCGCGTCAGCGACGAGGACGATGGCTCCGCTCTGGACGGTGCAACAGCCGCTGACGACGATGTGGACGGTTCCTTGTGCGAGAGTTTTCGCGTCATGCGTATGCCCGGCTCCCATTCGCGTCTGCAGGGTAATAAAATGAGAATTAGAACAGGCCAAGACCAATAGACAGGGGACTGGTGCACCAGACTCACCTTGTGGCTAACGAAGAGCTGCCACCGCCCACGGAATGACTGCCGCCCAGGGCGCCCACTGAGGAGGTGGGCGTCGAGGGCCTGGCCGACATGGAGGCCATTTTATGCTTGAGATCGGGAAACGTTTCGATCACCAGATCCCGGAACTCCAGCAGGGCACCGACCTCGTGCTGCAGCTCCTGCAGCGACTTTGTCTGCTCCCCGTGGATGTGATGGCTCCCGTAGCTGTTGCTGTAGTGCGGCGTGTGGTGGCTCAGGTGATGATGGTGGTGCAGATGATGCGGATACGTGGCCCCCACCACCACTGTGGCCGTGGGCGAGGCAGCCACTGCCCCAACGCCCACCGGCACACCGCTCGACGACATCAGATGCGGATGATGGCCGGCACTGCTCATCGGCAGGCACTCCATGGCCCCGCTGGCCAGCTCAGTGGTGCCCAAGTGTCCCGCTAGCTTCCCGTTTACGTGGCTGTGCCCCTCGCCGTTGCTCTGACTGAGGTGGTGGCTGGTGGTGTCGATGCCATGCGTTGCGGGTACTTCGAAGACGTCATTCTGCAGAAGGGTAAGAAGGGCGAACGGAAGAAATATATTATTAGCTTAACATTCATCTGTATTTTCAGGCCTACTTAGCATTTTGATACACAAATTAAACACAAATTATAAAATACATAAATGACATCGGCAATTTGGTTTTTCTTGGGAAGGAACCAAAAATTTTAATAGAATATTAAAAGTTGTTTAGCACTTGAGCCATAAAATTGAAAGTTTTAAATAAATTTCCAATAAATTTACACCCACTCTTGCCCCTGACACTAACAATTGGAACTCGGAATTCGCTGCCAACAGTCAAGTCACTTATGCTGATTCGAGTGTTACTAAGGGTTTAATTATTCGAAACGAATCTACTCGATGGCAATCGTTATTCGTTTGCTTCGCTTACTTAGGCACTTGGTCTCAGTTTTCTCATGCCTTTAAAACTCGCACTCGTTGCACTCACTCGTTGCACTCACTCGTTGCACTTACTCGTTGCACTCACTCGTTGCACTCACTCGTTTCTTTCTGACTCTGAACCCTTCGAGTAATGATTCAAAATGTTTCGAAGGCAATACAAACTGTAAACTGTACATGAATACTGTAAATTGTAGTAGTTCGAACTACATTTTGCAGTAGGTACAATTATTTATAGTAATAGATAATTACCAAACAAATATTATTCATATCTACAACTGCAATCCATGTGCATTTTTATTAACAAATTCAAATCATTTTTTATTTCAAAGTTTTTTTTTATTAAAAAACACGAACAATGCTAATTGATTTTATTTTCTCATCAACAATAATTATTCAAAGGCTAACGCTGGTATCTGTACGACTGACCTCCACAGATGGAAAACATTTCCCAACCGCATTAGTTAAACAATAGAATATTTTGATCAAATTAAGCCATTTAAAATCAATTATTGTAAAGATAAAATGGTACAAATGCTCCCTAAGTCACTCAATCAATGTTTTACATGCTGCATAAACGATAATCTAGACTCTAGAGATTGGAAATAGATCGCTGAAGATAGTATTAGTTCCCTGTAAATCTATGCATCATTATTATAATTTATTCAATCTATTTTCACTTCCTATACGCATGGCACATTCTCATACCTCGAGTAAATCCCATGAATCATTGTTTTTGTTTTGTTTTTTGTAGGTATTTTGGTGGTCAAGTGTGTGTCCGCTGCACTTTTACCTCTTTGGGCCTCAGCATCGCTTCGGCACTTCGGCACAAGTCATTATCAAGTGAAGAGGTGGCCTTACATAAGGCCCCCAGTGGGACTGTTAATTACTCAAAAGAAAACAACATTTAAAGCTGCATTAAGAAAATTTAATTCATCATCATCGTCGTAGTCGTCGTCATCGTGGGGCAATCCCCTGCTGGACTCTGGTTCGGGAGCAGTGCGAACGATTAGTGAATGACACACAAACTATGATTGATGATTGATGAATTGCAGCTCAGTTCGATCGAGCTCTGGAGAGCACAACACCCGGAGAGCTGCTGGCAACGACGATGGCGACCCGTGGAGAAAACTGTGGCAAGAGTGCATGCATGCAGCTCAATGCAACAATTTGTGACAATCATGTCCCAGACCCCATGACGCTTTCAGTGCTTTCTGAGCAAAAGGCTTATGGTTCAAGCCCGCGACTCCAAACTAGAACCGGGGCACCCGCAGCAGATGGCCGCCAAGTAAAAGTCGTTTTCTTTTGCTTCTCTCTTGTCCAGCATCTGCTCTGGATCTGGATCGAAAAATTACGAGTGTCGAGCGATTTGTTTGTCAAGCCGAGTGGAAGTTTTCCCGCTTTCCCGCTTTCACTCAGCGAGAATGTTTCTCAATTGAATGGAGAAAAAAAAATACTTTCACATGCAATAAACATAAATATTTTTGCCTGGCAGCCGTTTTGTCGGGGCCGGCTTTGAGGCTGGCTATTGATCAAACAACCGCTGGTTGGGTTGGCTGACTGGGTTGGCTTGCGGAGCGAAGTGCTATAAATACTTACGAATGCATGGCAAAAGTCACGACAAGACAAAACCAGGCAACTGGGTCTGTTGTCCGTTGTCTGTTCTACTACAAGAAAGAGTAGCAAGGCAGAGAGCAAGAGAGCAAGAGAGTGTTGCATGCACCTTGATGGGACAGAGTTCGGGCTCGGAAATGTTGGTCAGCGCCTAATGGCAAAATCATTGCAAATGAAGCATGAAAATTGGCCCACATTCACATCCATCCATCCATCCATCCATCCATCTGCCATTGGCTGGGCCCAGACATTATTTAACAGCTAATTAACGGAAAAGCGTTGGACAGCGGGGTGCGCAGGGGGAACTCCCAGGAAGCAAAAATCATAATTTCATGGCAGCTTGCATAATAATGGCTCAATGCACTTTTCCTACCGTATAAACTTTTTTTTTTTGTTTCTTTCATTTTTTTGTTGTTAATTTTTTTCATTTCCATTTGTGATTTTTTTTTTTCCATTTTGGCCGACTTGCCTTTGGAGCGTGGCGAACATCAAAGCCAAAAAGTATGGGAAGTGCCAGAGCAGTCACATTGAAGATCGTGTAATTATATAGCAAAATCCATTGTCAACCACGAAATTGAAACCAAACAATCCCCAAGACCCCGAACCGAACCGAAGCGACTGTCACTCACAAAATGCGACTAGAGAGAGAGAGAGAGAGACAGACAAGAGCCGCTCAATGTCGGGTCGTCTGTCATTCAGTCGAGCGTTTCCATTGGCTTTATGATTTCAGACTCTCATTGCTCAATTAACTTGGTGGATTTGGCCTTTTGGCCCACGGGCCCCAAACTAGCCAGAGACACAATCCAATCCACTCCACTCCATTCGAGAGAAGGCCCAAACAAAAGCAAAGTTTCCTTGCCTCCTACTACTTTATGTACACATGTGATATATTACTTGCTATATGTATTTCAGATACATATATGCAAATTAAAATCCACTCCGCAGTCGGCCCTATAGACACAAGTGTTTCCTTGTCACTCGAGCGAGGCGCGTCTGTCACTGTTTCGGAGTCTTCCTCAAGCTGCGCCCCTCTTTGCTGATATGACAAAGCCCTGGCTTGGCCCAAAAGGCGTTGCACAGTGGTTCAAATGTGGCAATTATATATCATTTATGATTTCTAGAATTCCCTTTGAATATAATTATTTAATTATTTATTTTGCAATGATAAATATTTAATTTAGAATAAATTTAAGGGGCAAGTTTTTTGGTAGCCATTTCCGGGAAAATGCAACCACTGTTTGATCATCAACCCCAATCATTATTTGAACATCATTATCATCTTCATCGCTGTACTCGTTGGTCGTGGGCGCAAACTATCATCTCTGTTGCCGTCTGCGTGGCTGCCACGCAATGCTGCATCCTCAAGTTTTATTATATGCCAGCAATTGGGTTGATCATCATCATTGTGCGCCATGACAGACGCAAAAAAAAAGAGTCACAGCAGAGCCACAGAGAGGCAGGCAACAAACAGGCACCACTTGGAGCTTGGGCGACAGACCCGCTCAATTAGGCTGCCCACCACTTGAGTCGTCAGCACCACAAGCACCACAGCACTAGCCAGCAAGGTTTTTGGGCTTGCCTTTGTGAGTCAGTCAGTCCATACGACTATTTATAGATGGGAACCCAACTACAGTTCCCCAAAGTGCCCAGGCACAGGCACAGAAGCGATCAACTATTTCGCCATAAACGGGAGCCAGCGGTGCAGCACCTGTCCCCCATAAATAACAGAAGTTTTGCCATTACTAGAAAGTCGCACTTTGATTTAATGCAAAACCAAATTAATCATGGAATAAACGGGTAGAACTCCATACATACATAGTCATCAATGTAGTAGTGGGACACCCACTTGTAAAAACAATGACAGAACCGAAAGCAAATACAAGAGAAATACCTAAAAACCAAAACCACTTCCCAGCTCATTTAACTGTACTTTGGCACTGGTGTTGCTTTTGCTTTTGCTTTTGGCTTTTCTATTCTTTCTCCAAAATTTCTTGAGTGTGGCTTTTGGGGCTACATTTTTGCACTCGACCTGGGGCGCAATGTTGTTTGATCGATTTTTTGGCAACACACTCTGTGTCACTCTCTCCACCTTTCTCTCTCTCTCTCTCTCTGTCTCCTCTCCCTCTCTCCCTTTATCTGTCTTTCTGTATTCCTTTATTTCTTTGTTTCGCTTGTTTATACGTAACGTGCCGATGCGATTGCTATTTGCTATGCTCTAGCTAACACGGGTTTCACTGCGCTTTATTCGCTTGCACACATACGTACATATGTATGTGTATGTTTGTATGTAATTCTAAATCGCTTTTCTCGGTGTTTCTCTGCTTGTATACCCCTACAGAGGGTACTTCCGTTCTGATAAACAGTTTGCACTGATGTCTCTATTTACAGAACTAATCTAAATTCAAATAAAATCCCTTCTGAAGGCTTTGTTGATCTGGCTATAACGTAGAATTTAACTCAGTCTACAATTGTATAAATAAATAAATAATCAAATTAAATATTCTCATACCCGTCTGGGATAGATTGACTGGTAATATGTACAATTTATTCTGCGAATGAACTGTAATTATTGTGGGTGAAAATAAATGTACACTCTTCACTATCTCCCGCGAGGGCAAAACGAGATATCATTGATCCCATGCTGGAGATGGCGTGGCCTCTCTTCCCTCTCTCTGTAACTAGCGCGAGCGTGCAAGAGTATCCCAATCCAACGTTTATGGTCTTTCATTTCTTTTTCTTTTCTTATGATTTGGATTTGGTTTTTGCTTTGATTTTACCCACACGCCGTTGTGGAGCGCTCTATGAAATTTCTATTTTTGCGCTTGTTTGTTCGATCGCAGGGTTTTAATTGGATATTTCCATGCAAAGACTGGCAGCGAAATATTACAATAATTTTCAAAGTGCAACCCTCTTTGTAACCCTTTCCCTCTCCCTCACCCTGTCCATCTATCTATCCAGCTACCATTCCAATTAGTAATGCGTTTGCATAA